GCCGCGGCGGGGGTCTCTCGCGCCGCCATGAACGAGTGAAGCTTCAAACTTTGACAGAATAGCATATTCATACAAGGACGGAGAGCCCCAGTGGCGCCCCGGAGGGGCTGTACTAAAATTCGAGCACAGTGGCCGAAGCCTGAGTATGCGCTGTGATCGCCGCGAGCAGCAAGCTCGTGACTTTCGCGTGCGTGCTCCACCCGGACTCGAGTCCGGCTCAAGCCCGACTTGAGTCGGGTTGAGTTGAGTGGGGTTGAGTTGGGAGCGCTGTGCGAACTCAACTCAACTCGAACTCAACTCACGGCAACACTAGCTTCCTGTCCATTGCAGAAAGTCACTGCTTGTGTGGGTACTATGATGCATGATGAGGCGGCTGGCTGTGGAGGACGTCGGTCCGAGGGAGAGGGGGAGAGGGGGCGGAGTTTGAAGCCAAGAAGGAAGGCGGCGATCAACTCAAAGGAAGAGATAAGGAGGGCTTAGACACAGAGAGCGAAGGAAAATGAGGTTGGATTGATGTGTGCAGGCAGAGGCTAGAGCACCGAGCTTTATGCACGCGTTACGAGCAAAGTAAGTGGAATCGATGAGTAAGTATAGCATTGGGCGACATTCACTAACACGCTGTCCGCTGTCCGCAAGCCGCAAAGCACTGCTGCGGGAGCCTGGCACTTGCTGGACGCTAGCGCTGAGCAGTGGACTTGACCTGCAACGACATTGTGGCGTTCCGCCGCACGATGAGTGCTATCGACTCCGGGAGACCTGCGATCGCGCGCGAAGGAGCAGCTCGCTGTCCCAATACACGATGATCCGCGCAGTCGCCGACGTTGCCGACTTGTCTAAAAGGGCGCGAGGGCTTCGCGGGGTCTTGATCGTCGGGATAGTTGCTCGTGTGCTCAGGCGAAAGGAAGAGATATATTGGTGGTGGTGGTGGTCGGGGCCCAAAGCGGGAACGCCCATCTTTCCGCGACGCGCGAGGCAAGATGTCGCGTCGTCGGGAGCCTCGGATGAACCGGCCGAACCATGCCGGAACGCCGCTAAGTACAGTAGTACGGTGTCCGTATACGACCCAGATCATGAAGGGCTCAAGTCCTCGAGCCGAAGGCTCGATGGTCTACGCAGAAGAGAGAATAGACGCCCGTCGTCGACCGGCCTGTCGATTCAAAATAAGGCGAATAATTCTGAAAGAATATCCCCATCGCGAGATGTGCGGACTCTGACTGCGGAAGTACGCCGTTCACCTCATCCCGCGTCGCATGTACTGCTTCGAGCTTGCAAACCGTAGCGGGTCTTGCCGCGTGCGGCCCTATAGCAGTTATACCATATGTACTCTAGAGAATGAAGGAAACGGGAGGAAGCCTGCAGTCGAAATGTGGCGAAGGGCCTCGACGTCGGCAGACCGACGAAGAGCCGAGGCGCGCATGGGCCGCGGGCGCGCAACGTCATGACTTGCGAGCCTCTTGATCTCAACGCGATCGACCCCAGTCTCTCAAAAACGGAAGCCTCGTCCATGCAGCAGTAGCCATACCTTTGACCACGACCACGATGAGCACGATCAAGAACAGGCGGGTGGTAATCGCCTCGCTCTTCCTGCCCAATACCGCTCTACTCGGCGCTGAGGATGTCGAGCCTACACATGAACTGCCGACAATTCCATCCCCCGGCGTACTCAATGGCAATCCTGTGCTTTCTATGCCCAAGCCTATGACCCACGCCCGGAGAACTTCGGGTCCGATCACGAGTATCCTGGACGATCTGGCCGGAAAGGTGTGTGCTATCTCCCTGTTTGATGCACTGTGATAGTACTAGAGCTACGTCTCAGGCTCTCTGAGGTATGTACCTTGCGGTCTTCAGTTGCGACGGGATCTGACATTCTGATAGATTCATGAAGCCAATGGCTACTGCACACTCTACCATCCTTTCCGGCCTGTTTTGGCTAGCGATTGAACGTATTACTGACTGTAATAACCTCCGTAGTCGCGAGCTGTTACGCCGACAAAGGGTTTGCTGAACGAGCCCAACCCTCTGTTCTCGACTATGACACCTATGGGCGAAGATGTCAACCCGTTCGGAAGGTCTGCCCTGCCGTCCAAGACGACCACCCCGCTATCTCGCCCGCCCGTGTCCCGCGTTGTGACGGGAAATAACCCAGAGTTCTCCCGCCGCACCGCGCAGAACCAGGAATTCGCTCTTCCGCTTCACATCCCACATCGCGTCCAGCGCAAGATGACACGCACGAGCTCTGTCCGACGTACACGCAGCTCGGAGTCAGGAAACGAGAGCCCTGGTGGACAACCCTGGCACATTGACCACAATCCTCACTGCAACGGCGGTCTGCACAACGCCGTGCAATCCATCGATGCACGGCTGAAGGAGAAGCTTTGGGTCGGTACCCTCGGTGGCGATACGGATAGCCTCAACGGGTCCCTGCGTCGTAGCATCGATGCTCGCATGGCGAAGGAGTGCGACTCTCTACCCGTCTGGATACCCGACGAGGAGTTCGGGAAGTACTACGACGAGTTCTGCCATCAAGTGCTTTGGCCATGCCTACACTACGTCGTCCCCGATGCGCCGAAGACCAAGTACTTTTACGAGAGCTCTGCTTGGACGCAGTACAAGACGGTCAACCAGCGTTTTGCGGATGCTATCGTGGCAAATTACAAGGACGGCGACATCAGTCAGTCATACTTCCCCCCTTTGCCCCCGCACTATTGCTGATGTTATTGCACAGTCTGGGTAAACGATTATCACTTGATGCTTCTGCCCGCTATGCTCCGCGAGAAGCTTCCGCAAGCGACTATCGGCTTCTTTATGCACGTCGCGTTCCCCAGCTCGGAGATCTTCCGCTGTCTGGCCGTGCGGGAGCCCATCCTCCGCGGCATGCTCGCGGCGGATCTCGTCGGCTTCCAGACTGCGAACTATGCACGCCACTTCCGGCAGACCGTTGCGCGCATCCTGTCCTTCGAGACCGTGCCTAAGGGGATACAGTGCGAAAACAATTTTGTCGACGTTGGTGTCTTCCCCATGGGCATCGACGTGCAGGCCCTCCAGGAGCGCAAGTGAGTGAAGGTGGTATTCATACTCAACGAGTGTTACTGACTCGATCCCATAGGCATGACGAAGAGGTGCAGCATTGGGTTGGCGTACTCAAGGAGCGCTACGCGAACGTCAAGCTTGTCGTCGGTCGCGATAAGCTGGACGAAGTTCAGGGCGTACGGCACAAGATCGCGGCATTCGAGGAGTTCCTCACGAAGTTCCCTCAATACCAGGGCAAAGTCGTTCTTCTGCAGGTCGCTCTCCATACGACCGAGCAGAACGAGCACCATGGCGGCGTCTCGGACATCGTCTCACGGCTCAACTCCCGCTTCTCTTCCCTGACGTATCAGCCCGTCGTCTTCCTGCATACCGAGGACCTCTCGTTCGCACAGTATCTCGCGCTTCTTACGGTCGCGGACGCGTTTATTGTGACGAGCATGCGCGAGGGCATGGCTCTTCGCTCGCATGAGTTCGTGGAGTGCCAGGAAGGCCGCCATCGACCGCTCATCCTCTCGGAGTTCACCGGCACGTACAGCTACTCGGGCTTCCGCTCGTGTATACCGATCAACCCCTGGGACACGCGCAACACGGCCAAGGCCATTCACCAAGCCTTGTCGATGGACGATGATGAAGCGCGCACACGGTGGGAGGACCTGCATGCTCACGTCGTGACACAGACGGCCCAGGCGTTTGCGACGAGCTTTTTGACGCGCTGTGTGCGCACACATGCGGAGCATACCGCGGCCGACTCGGACCCGGACGCTGTCGCTGCACTCGATACGCGCAGGTTGCTTCCACGATACAAGCACTCACAGAGCCGGTTACTCCTTCTCGACCTTGAGTACAGCCTCTGGCAACGGGACCCCGCCGGCGAGCGTGGGAATGAGGGTTCAAGCATGGCTGTTCCGGAAGAGGCGCTCGACATTGTCCGTCGTCTCAGCGAAGATGCGCGCAACGAGGTCTGGCTGCTCAGCGGGCTCCGCCGCGATGGGCTCGAGAACATCTTGAAGGTTGCGCCGAAGGTTGGACTCGTTGCCGAGAATGGATGCTACATCCGCACGATTCCTGGCAAGAACTCGACCGGAGAGTGGGTGTCCATGGTCGAGCGCTTCGATCTCGCGTGGAAGGCGCCAACTGTTGAGATCCTCAACTACGTGAGTCCTCACGTTCATCGTACAGCCTGACACAATGCTGACCCGAGCCGACTCGCAGTTCTCCGAGCGCACTCCTGGCTCGTGGGTGGAAGAGCGCGAGGCGAGCGTTGTGTGGCGCTACTGTGCGCCCGATGCACCAGATGGCGACCGTCAATGGGCGCGGCGCCAGGCCGCGGAGGCACAGAACCACATATTCGATTCCCTCGGCGAGCGCTTCGGCCTGCGCATCATTCCCGGCGCATCATCCTTCCTCGTCTTGCCCAACTTCATCTCCCGCTCATCTGCTGTGGGCGCTATCCTGCATCCCTCTGGACCTGGCCGCGCACCGCGCGGTACACCTGTCGAGAGCGCAGACGTTGGGGAGAAGTTCGTGTTCGCATTGGGCAACGATGAGAAGCTGCTAAGGCGTTTGGGTGAGGTGGATGGTGTCGAGACGTGCTCGACCAGAGTGGAGGGGAAGACAGACGCCCGGTGGCGCTGTGCGAAAGCGGATGTATTGGGTGTATTGAGGGCGTTGGCCGACTCGTCGACGCAGTAAGAGGCGAAAGGGAGCGGAGGAATGCAAAGAGTCGTGTCTGACTAGATGTACTGTACTGAACCTACTGTTGTTGTTGTCACCATAGTGTATCACAATACGAAGAACACACGTTTACCGCTGAGGGAGGTCATTATCGGAGCTTCGGCATATCGGCATCCGCGTCGGCAGCGCCGGTCCGACGTGTTCCGCCATCATGAGCGCCTTCCTTCTCCCCGCCATCACGCATCGCACAGTTGAACCCCTCAGAGCCGTGGACTGAATTGCTAGCTTATGTCCGACACGGAGGTACTCCAGAAGAGTAGTGGGTCACTGTCCACATGGGTAAGTATGCCTTCAAAGGATTTGATCATGCCAGTACCATCACAACTCACTAACGTCCCTAGAGATTGGTTCGCGACGCGCTCTCAACACTGGCGACTTTGCAGGATAACGCCAACGATACTAGCGGAAGTGACGCCGGACCATCGCATAGCGAAGACGCTGAGTCACTCACTGTACTCGGCGACACATACATCCAACGCTACAAGAACCTGGGATCACCGGAAGATCTCAACGACGCGATTGCGGCATATACTCGCGCATTGGAGGTCACACCCGATGGGCAGCCTAATATGCGTATACGAGTCATTAACTATGGCTCTGCAATACAGTGCCGTTTTGTCAAATGTGGCGATGCTGCCTCGGCCTCAGACTTCGAGATTGCTATCTTTTCGTTTACCTTCGCGGCTGAAGTTACCCCGGACCACGATCCCGATAAAGCCCGGATCCTATCTCTTCTCGGTTCATCCATTCTGACCCGTCTGCAACACCTCCCTGGCAGTTTCAGGGTTGACGACGTTGATGGCGCCGTCGCTGCACATCGTCGAGCGGTAGAGCTCACCCCTGACGATGATCCTGAGCGGCCATGTCGCTTCAGCCAACTAGGGCGTACCTTGACATACCGCTACCAGCGCTTATACTTCGAACATGGCGCCGGCACTTATCTTGAAGACGCTGTCGCCGCCCATCGCCAGGCTGTCGAGCTCACGCACGATGGACATCGTGAGAAGACATCGCGTCTAAGCGAGCTGGCGGGCGCGTTGATCAATCGATTCCAGTATACTCATGACCCTGAGGATCTTGAAGATGCTCTTGGTTCTACCCTCCGTGCAATCCTCATCTCTCCCGAAGGACATATAGAAAGGCCAGTGTGGCAGTATAACGTTGCTGATTACATTCACATGCGCTTCATGCACTCAGGGAAGCCCAAAGACCTCGAGGACGCAGTAGCTGAAATTCGGAAAGCGCTCGATATCACGCCTGAAGAACACACGATCAGGCCCTTAGAACTTCATCGGCTGGGTGCACTCTTGCTGAACCTCTTTGATATACATGGCCATGCGACCGATCTGGACGACTCAATCGCTGCACACCACGATGCAGTTCGGCTGACGCCCGACGGCGATACGGAGAAGTTTCGGAGGCTCAGCTCTCTGGCCACATCCGCATTTCGACGGTACGAGCGCTTTGGCAACCCCGGAGATCTCGATACAGCCATCACCGGGGCACAACGCGCTACTGAGCTTTTGACTCGTGCATGGGATCAAGCATGGTTTCACGACAGCCTTGGCCATTACGCATGGACTCGTTGGGAGCGTGAAAGCAGAGAAGAGGATCTCGAAACCGCCATCAGTGCTTATACTGAGGCTGTCAAGTACACGATACATGACGATGCAGACAAGCCTCGGAAGCTGAGCAACTTGGCGCTGGCTCTTTCTTGTCGCTTTCAGCGATACGGAAAGCTCGAGGACCTCGAAAAGCGTATCGAGCATGCGCGTCTGGCAGTGGATCTCTCAATTGACGGCGATATCAACAAACCATGGAGGTTACTCGTACTAGGAGATGCTTTGCAGAGCCGCTATGAGCGTCTTTATGAGCTGGGTGACCTTGAAGGGGCCATCACAGCATACCGTCGCGCATCCGAGAGCATCCCTGATGATCACTCAGACAAGCCCTTGTGGCTGAGCCGACTCGCTGTCTCTCTTGGAAGCCGTTTTGAAAGGCTTGGGTCTCCGGAGGACTTGCACACCTCGCTAGAGATCGCTCATTGTGTGGATGCGCTTACACCGGACGAGCATGCATTCAAAACGCACGCACTGACCAGTCTCAGTAGCAGTCTTTCGAGGCGATTTGAATATCTGGGCGACCCACAAGATCTACAGGATGCAATCATCGTACAACGTCGCGCCGTCGATGCCACGCCTGACACTGATCCCGCAAAGCCCGTGCGGTTGAGTACACTCGCCACCCTTTTGCATCACCGATCGGACTGCATCGCCGAATCAGGCAACGACCTTGTCGCTGCCCAAGCGTTACACGAGCGCGCGATAGAGCTCAATCCCGATCAACACCCGGACAATGCGTGGATGTTTGAACGATCCGCAGACTGCCTTCGCAGCCTCTTCGAGCGAGAGAAGACCCACGCCACCTTCGTTGCAGCTATCAAACGTTATGATGATGCGGCTGGTCAAACTCAGGGTCCCATTTATAGCCGCTTCCGATCAGCGGAGGCTTGTGTCAACCTACTCTCCTCCTATCCTGACTTCAGTTCACCAGAATCATTGCTATCCGCATATTCTCGCATCATGCATATCCTCCCCGATATCATCTGGTTTGGTCATACAGTCAAGCGACGTCTCGAAGAAGTGGCTCGTATGGGCGGACTCGCTGGTACCGCTGCTTCCGCCGCTACTGCGGTCGGCGATGTCGCACATGCTGTGGAATGGCTGGAAGCAGGAAGAGCGCTCGTCTGGTCGCACATCACGAACCTGAGCGCTCCCGCAGACGAGCTACGAGAGACTCGTCCTGATCTCGCCGCGGCGGTATCAGATATCCAATACAGGCTTGCCGTGGCAGGGCTTGGCGTAGCATTCGAGCGACCGCGGGAAACTTATCCAAGTGAAGGCGATATCCATCGCGCAATCACTGTAACTCCCACTTCTGAAGGAGATCGTTACCGTCGACTTGTGGTTGAATACGAAGGCCTTGTAGGAGAGATTCGCAATTGTCCTGGCTTTGAGGACTTTCTGCGCCCGAAGGCGTTCGAATCCCTCCAGTCTTCGTTGAAACACGCCGCCGGACCCGTGGTGTTTTTGAATGTATCATCACTTTGCTGCAATGCAGTGATTGTAACAAGTCAGACGTCGAAGATTATACCACTTCCGTCGCTAACAGAGGAAAATGCGCAGCTCCTCTGTGCACGTTGGTTAAAGGGTCTCCGTTCTTACGGAGTGCGTCAACGCGCCACCAAATCGAGGGCTTTAGATGCTGCTAGAGGCAAAGATAGGATCACGATGCTCTCCCGTGGTGTACTGGAGCCGCTATGGCGGTGGGCCATACTCCCTGTTCTTGATGCTTTGGGCATAGTAGTCAGTCTTCCATAATTCTATTTGATACACTGCGCTGACCGTCCGCCCGTAGACACAATCCCCTTCGAATGAAGAACTGCCGCATATCATCTGGTGTCCTACAGGAGCACTCCTACAGCTACCTTTGCATGCGGCAGGCTTATACGTTGCACATGATCCAATGAAGTCACATTCAAGAACTTGTCTGCACGATTTCGCCGTGTCGTCATACACGCCATCCCTGTCCGCTCTTGTCCGATGTTTACGCGGTACAAGGAACGAAGTAGCGGTCCCCAGAGTTCTAGTTGTTGCCCAACCAGATACAGGGCGAGGCCTTTCACCTCTTCCATGCGTCACAGAAGAGAGCGACACCATTCGCCGCATCTTACCCGCTGAACCGAACCATACATTCCTTCATCGCGACGAGGCTACGGTGCTATCGACCTTCGACGTCGTCAACGAGCATCCCTGGGTCCACTTTGCATGCCACGGGTGTCAAAATCCGGATGATCCGACTCTAAGTTCGTTCGAGCTGCACGACGGCCCGCTCACTCTCGCCAATCTTATGACCGACAGAACGGCCGATGAATCCGAGCTCGCCTTCTTATCCGCGTGCCAAACGGCTACAGGCGACGAAAAGGTTCCAGAGGAGTCCATGCATCTAGCAGCTGGAATGCTCGCTATTGGGTTCAAAGGTGTCGTGGCGACGATGTGGTCAATCACGGACGAAGACGCCCCTGTGATCGTTGAGGCGTACTATACGAGATTGCTCGAGCTGCGTGCGTCAGGAACTCTTGCGCAAGGAGAGACCGGAGCGGCACGCGCGCTACATGATGCGGTGGGGTGTTTGAGGGAGAGGATCGGGGAGAGTGCGTTCGAGAGGTGGGCTCCGTTCATTCACTTCGGGGCGTAAAAACTTCGAAGCACGAAGGAACGCTCTGAACTAGAGTAGTGGCATCACGGATCATCTTCAGCATGGCGGTTCCAAGGAGTATTTTATGATGTATTACTACAATTCGTGCACTATGTACGATACATGCGGTGTCTTCAAGCCTTGCGCTTCTTTCCGCAATGCGACTTGTGCTTTCCATATTTCCAATCCCTAGGCCAAACGTTAGCAATCAGTGGCAACGATCGAACAATTGACAGTCAAATTCACCTCCTCTGGCATTCTGTGCTACAGTATCGTGTTTCCCGGCATGCAGAACATCTGCTCATGGAAGATTTCTCTCCTGTCGAGAGCTGACCACGACGCGGGCAATTGCGCCAGGAGCAGCCGGCACGCGACTCCTCCAGATGACTCTGATGCTCTTGCTGCGCCTGAAGACCCAATGCATCACCCAAGCTCTCCCAGGCATCCTTTGAGCCGCAACAGAGCCGCCTGGTCCTTCGATTTCTGGACGCTTTCCTTGGCCAAACGTGCTAAGCTTGGCCACCAGTAAGCTCGAGCACCTGCGCGCATACTCTCCACGAGTGCGGGATTAGATGGCTCAGTAGAAGGTCTGACCATCAGGTGCAGGCCATCCACGCCTTGCAAGACGTCGTAGGGCTTCAGTTGTACATCACAAATCAGGAGTCGGCTCGCACGCACCTGATGCTGGGAGAAAAAGTCAGAGCATAACATGATATCTTGATAGAGATCAAGCAAGCCGGAATCAACCACCGCCTTGGCTATGCGAGGCTTATGGTCGCCGAGTGACCTCAGCACTTCACGCAGGGCGTCTACCCAAAATGCGGAGGATACGACCAGCTCCTCCACTGTTGTCTTCGGGCCGGCAAACGGCTTGATGGGCCGAGTCCTCTGTTCTTCAAACATGTCGCGGAGTATTTGAACGCTTCCCGTGGCGTCGTCTATCAGACTAATGCCAACGGTGGCCGCCGCCTGTCCGTATATCTCCATCCTGATATCTTGCGTACGCGCGACATATGGCGCGTATTCGTCAGTTGGCGGTGGCATGTGGTGGCAGGTGGGGTTGTAGTTGTTTCAGAAAGCGTAAGGCGGTCGAGCACCCGGAAAGATAGGTGCAAGCAAGAGTAGCCTGTAATGGCACGTCGACTGTGGTGGTGGTTGAGTTTGACCTCTCGGATCCGCAGTCCGGAGCGCCTGGACGGACGCGTTGGCAGCGTGTGACCGCTATTTGGCCAAGCTCTTAATCTTCTCCTCGACAGGAGCCGAGGAACGATCAGCCGTACACTGGCGCCGTGTTCCAACGTCTCAAAGCTGTGTATCGCCATATCTTCTGCGATGCGAGAACGTACAAACTGATGGGAGAGGGATCGCGATGGAAACTCACGTGGTCGTGTTCTCCGTATATGGACCTGGACGCTCGCGCTCGCGGCAGCGCCTAGCAAACACCATCTCCTACCTCCATCACTGTCGCCGTCCTTCAAACATCACCTCTACGTCTTACGGTTACTTTGGCGCAATATTGCGTAACCAATAACTAAGACTCGCCGCGCACGGACTCTCGCATTATACACCTTCTGAAGGGCCTTGGACTATGGCTTCCGCTACGGAAACTCTGAGTTCAGCGAACGACCTGCTAGCGGCCCATAGTGCACTTGTTGGCCGAGTTCGTCAAGCACAGAAGACGCGCCGCGCACTTCTGCGAACCCTGCCATCACCGCCTGAGACATTACTAAACCTCACGCTTATACCGGACCCACCACCTTCACCACCTGAATCGCCTCCTGGGAGCCCGGTCCTACCCTCACCACAAGTACGACATGTACGACAAGACCTACCGCCAGCAAAGCGCGCCCGGGCCATGCACTATATCAACTACGTTCCGGAAGAGGAAACCATCAGGAATGACTATAGCCAACGATATGTGGACGGTGGAGAGTGGCCGCAAGATTGGGTTCTCGGTGCTGAACCGGAGAGGAGATTCGAAGAGTGAGTCTGTCTCCTCACATACAGACTGGACTGTCGTTCTATGCACATCTGTACTCTTCCTCATGTACTTTGATGACACTGTCAATCGAAACCTTACTTCAATGCGTCAACCGGTTCACAAGGACATGGGCCCGACGCTCTGAGCACTTGGAACCACCAGCTTTCGAGGTTTATCGTCGCTGATACATCTCCAGATACCCAAAGCAGCAACGCCTCCTCACCCTCAAGAAGGCGTCTGTTCTACACTGGGCCGCACCACCCCTATATCTTCCCATCACATCATTACAAACGCTGATGCCAGCGAAGTTCGACGCTATCCTAATCGACCCTCCGTTCAGCTCTTCCTTTACGTGGAACGAGTTGCAAGAGCTACCGATACCAACTCTAGCAGCCGACCCGAGCTTTGTTTTCATGTGGGTCGGCTCGGGAGCGGGAGACGGTCTTGAGAAAGGGCGGGAGGTACTCGCGAAATGGGGGTATCGCCGTTGTGAAGATGTTACATGGCTCAAGACGAACAAGACAACGAACAAGGGTCCTGGCGTAAGTCCGCGCATTTGAACGGCGGGTGAACGACTGATCATATTCACGTGTAGACGGATGCACCGACGACCTCACTCTTGACGCGGACAAAGCAACACTGTCTCATCGGCATCCGCGGCACAGTACGCAGGAGCACTGATTCATGGTTTGTACACTGCAACGTCGACACGGACGTGATGATTTGGGAAGGCGACCCATCGGATCCCACACGCAAACCACCAGAGATGTACACCTTGATCGAGAACTTCTGCCTCGGCCTCCGTCGCCTTGAGCTTTTCGCCCGCGCGTCGTGTCTTCGTCGAGGATGGATCTCCGCACTCATGATGGGCGAAGAAGAGAAGGTACCGGCGGCGATGGCGATGGCGCATGAGGAGTTGGAGATGCCCGTAATGCAGACCGGACCGATCCTACCTGCAGGGCTACCTCAGAAGCCGGTTGCACCTATGTTGACGAACGGTTTCGGAGAGGATGTGAGCATAGCGGCTGCTCAGCGGTGGGACAGGGACGCTTGGGACGCTCGTCTTGCGGAGTGGTGTCAAGGAGAAAAAGCGGTCGTGCCCATCACACCCGGTATGCTCATCTCGCTCTTCATGCGGGCTTGTAGCTGATATAACCATACGCAGAGATTGACCAACTCAGGCCAAAGTCGCCCGTGCGTGGCGGTGGCGGTGGCGGTGGCGGTGGCGGAGGCGGAGGCGGGGTTCCACCTGGACAAACCCCAGCGCCCGGCGCGATGATCCCTCCTCGCCCTCCCACGGGTATGATGACCCCGGCGGGCACAATGGGTCCGAACCCAGGCGGTATGGGCGGTGACATGAACATGTTCATACCCAATCAACAAGCAATGTTTGCCGCGCCACATCCTCAACAGGCCGGCATGGTCATGGGCGGGATGAACATGCCGATGGAAGGCATGGGCAGTATGCAGGGCATGGGCGGTGGTATGGGCGGAGGGAACATGCGTCCTGTGAATCGGAATATGGGCCCGAGAGGAGGGATGAATATGCCCGGCTTCAACGGGATGCAGCCTGGATTCATGCCTGATGGAAGTGGAATGATGATGGGCGACATGGGCATGGGCATGGGTATGCCTGGAAATATGGGTGGTGCCGCTGGCATGGGTGGCAGTACGGGAATGGGCGCTGGGCCTAATATGATGGGTGGCGGTATGAACGGAGCAATGAATATGGGTGGGCAATGGGGCGGCCAGGGTTTCTAGTGGACTATACGGACAGAGAATATAGGACTCTCGATTTCGATATCTTGTGCGTCTGTAGCTGTGAATATGCTTTATCTACATTCGCCTCTACGTTGCTGCTTCACACGTGGACTTCTGGGCGCTAATTGCCATCACCATCGAGGCGCGCATCGCCGCGACAGGCTGCAGCTCAACTTGCCTTCGACCGTCACCTGGCTCTGGGTCCATTGCCATTTGTTATCCACAAGGGGCCTGATCATGGCGTCGTCCTCGACTGTAACTCAAGAGACCACAGCAGAGGAGGACCTCGCGTTCTGGAAAGGACGTATAGAAAGAGAACCTGCCGTCGTTCTTGAGCTTTGGAGAGCTGCATTCCGCAAGCGGTCTGGACGCTCCAATATCGACAACACTGAACTGTGGACTATAACCATTGCCATATCATTTTTATCACAAGCAGCTGGCAGCGGTGAAAACAAGTTCGTGAATGGTAGACCCTGGGCCGAGCCTAAGACTGCCAGAGTTTTCGCCGCGTTGCGGAAAAACGGTCTATGTGCAGTATGCGAAGAGATTGTCAAGCAGCCCGACTTCTTCGATCTCTTTTTGGTAGGTGACTATATTAGTACTATTCCTTGTGAGCTCATGTGTTGCATAGCCCTTTACTATAGCCGTCCTCGACATCATCGAAGCGATATGCGTGTTGGAACTATGGTTGCCTGTAGTCGACGTGTCAGAGGTCAAGAGCCTCGGAGAGTGTGTAACTAGGTCTCTCTGGGCTCACAAGGACTACTTTCTTGAGGGAGGACCTATACTCGATGCCCCTCCTGAGTACGGTGGACAAAAGGAGTTCTCTGTGAGGCTTCGTAACACGGTCGTCGACCTCTTGGCGCCCTTTCTCTTCGAATTAGCCCAGTGAGTACTTCATTCATGACAACGCCTCCTGTATCGGATAGTGATTGACCACGTGGTATTCCCAGTAAACAGAATTGGGGAGCACAAGATGATCTTCGTCGTATCGGCTTGTTTTGCTGGTTACACACCGAGGGCAACGAAGCCGACATACTTCCCACTCATATCTTCAAGCCCATCCTTCCACTTGACACCAAGCCCGATCCTTCCATGATTGATATGGAGCGTGGTCCTCTCAGCGAAGTCATACGGTTCACGACCGAGGAGGCGGTCCCAACATACGGCGCAGAACCCATCCTGCGACGTCTTTGTCAAACCTTGCGCGCCCCTTGGATCGTCGACGCAAAGTTGGTCGCCCTCATGCAAGGCGTATCTCTTCCTATCCTCGACGCCAAGATGAATGCCAAACTTGCCTCTACTGGACTTCTTCTAGCTTGGCGAGACGCCGTAGATCGACAATTCAGGGATGGAACAGATGTCACGAGTAATTGGCAAGTGCTCGATTACACGCTCCAAGTCTTCAGGTCAACCAAAACACTCTCCGCGCATACAACTATGGGATCCTTATCATCTACAGTGTGATCACAATCGATGTCCCTATCGCCGACGGCTCAGCTCATCTCGTCCGTGAGTGTGGCGTCGTAGAGCTCGTATCTCGCGCAGTCCGCATGTACCCGGAACTAGGTGCTTCAGAGAAGGGTTCCGCACTAAGTAAGCCCTTCTTAGAGTAAGGCAAGATGGTCGCTCACTAAAGGACTTGTAGAGGAGTGCTTGAGGTCTATCAGCGCATACAAGAAGTTCGCAGCTGCCATGAACATGCGCAGCGGTAAGAACACCTTACGAAAGACGTTCAAGCAGCAGATGCATCGGGAGTGGTATCCGACCCTACAGTATCTACGCAGCCAGTCACGCAGCAACATCGGGACCGAGAAGCTCTTGCTTGCCTGGGACGACTTCGGAAAGGCAGTCGGCTTATCTGAAGAACAGGAGAAGGCGAAGCATGCCCGCGAGGCGAAGAAGGCGGCCGCAGAACGCGCGCATCATTGTGCGTGGAAGGAATGCAGATTCAATGAGGAGAAGCATCCGATGCCGACGACTTTACGCGCCTGCTCTGGTTGCGGCGTTGCGGTACGATCTTCCCGGACCTTGTGCGCTGGGACAGTCTGAACGTTAATGCATTCTACAGCGATATTGCTCAAGAGAGTGCCAGAGAAAGTGCGGGCATTCATATACTGCAACGTATTCTCAACTGACTGTACCCCCGCCAGAGACTGGAAGACCGGTCATAAAATCGACTGCAGGAGGCTCAGGGAAGCCGAAGGGGCGTTCGTCTGAACATGGCGACGCTACGACAGGATATGAACACTCTTGAGACCGGCGCTTGATGCACTCTGGTTGTCCGACATCTGTGCCCTCGGGAACTTGAGGTATAAGTTCACAAGGGCACGTATGATACAGGATACTTTCGCATGATGGACGTCGTAGAGATACACTGTGTAGCCTTGTTTGGGCATGGATGCCTTAGAGTTCCTCTTCGCTCCTTGTCTCCAGAATATCGTAATGACCAGGGCTTTATAAGCTCAATCAGTGGTGAATAATAAACGATGACCGTACTCGGACGTACCGGTATAAGAGAATGACAGGTGAAGCCTGCGGGTCAGGCGCGCATTGGAAGTCAACCCAGTCAACCTTGCCATCAGCGGAGTGGCCATCAAGGTATGCAACCTTCACGTTGAGTTGCAACACGCGTGAAAGTGCGGTCATCTGCACATGGTCTATGGGGAACGGTGAGCCTTCCAGACTCGTCAGGGCCTGGATGATACTCCCACCTGCTTCTTTGCCAGTTGGCTCTACAAACGTCTCACAGAAGTCTCGGGCTGTCATCTGGTTTCCGAAATCAGGATGGAAAAGGAAGGCGTCGAACGCGTCCGGATCCATCCGGATTTGTGCGCTGGTGAGGAGGCGCAAGAAGACGACAATGGAAGTGGAGACTGAAAGTTTATGAGCTCAGACATTCGCGCTTAGTAAGAAGAGCAATAGTGCTGACCTTCTGGAGCCTGGAAAGCCTGCAGAAGAGAAGCGGGTGTTAGGCGATTGGATGATTCCGAGCCGACCCGCTTGAGCAGCCCCAAGAGTTCCTCATAGAAGTCCTCGTACGCAAACTTATCGAAGCCGACACCCTCAAGAAGTGAGAGAGACGAGTCCAGTACGCTTATAGCAACCGTAGCGTCCAGTGTTGGGTCGGGTCCTCGCATGACGCGTTCGATGTATGCAAAGGCTAAGGCTACGTGCATGGTTAGCACACGTATGGTATGGTTAAAGTCAATGGTGCGTACACCGATAGAAGCAGTCACCATCTCCTCTAGTCCTTCGTATGCCTGAATATCCCTGTCCGGCCAGCGCATCGATCTGCTTGACGAAAGCCTGGGAACCAGCTTCATATTCGGCGCGCAGGACGGCAATGGGAGCCACGGGAGCAATCAAAGGCCGGTCGGAAGACGTAGATTCGTTCAATACATTCTAAATAGTATATGAGCACTGTGTAGCCTGTGAAAGCGAGTGTTCGTACCTGGTTCAGCTCGTATAACTGTGCTGGGGTGAGGGAAGCGAGATCTGTACACTCGCGTGAGCACTCGGCGCGTCCACTTTCATCCAGATGCGTACGCACCAGTGTCTTCATTGATGACAACTGGAGCTGGCGTTGGAGCGTTCGAGTCCGGTAGTCCTGCCGTAGGGGGCTGTGCTGCAAGACGAATATAGATCTAATTAACTTGGGTTACGGAGCGCCACAGCGAGAGTGGACGTACGTGCAGGCGGTAAAGCGTCTGGTGGCGGCGTCGGCAGAGGTTCCGCTCGTTCCATAGCCATTGCGTAAGTGGAGATTGCCGTCAGAAACCAGTGTGCAGCGAGAGTGGGTGATACGGCCGGTGCCAAGGTGAGCGCAAGAGGTAGGAGCTGGAATGGTCCGTACGCGGCAACGTGACTAAACGCGTCCTGGAGATCCCACGCGTCGCGGGACTGGTTCATAGGCTGGGCTGACGAAGCAGTGGTGGTGGCGGGCACCTCATCAGATAGAGGACTATCTTCAATTGCTAGACTAGGTGACATGATATGGTATGAAGGAGTTGTGTCTGGCTTCAGAATCGATTGCACGGGCTTCTTATATAGCTCCTCAGGGCGCAGACGCGTCGGGCCACGCGTCCCACTACGCGCGTCGCGACGCGCAAGTGTTGTGCGCAATCGTACGAAGGACTTGTAAGATGTTGGTCTATGGATTGCCACAAGCACAAGTGCAGACCAGGTTTTCTCTCGGTGATGAAGATGGCACAGTCCTCCACGACGGGTGAACGCGACTAAAACTGAAGATACGAACACCAAGAACTACGATGCGCGAGAGACTACTACTCAATATTACACCGGCCAACGTTCCACATCGTTCCATGATATAGTATCTGATGATACCACTGAGTCCGCGTAGCTGACCGGTCGGGAGCATTCCAGCTCATTGTGTTCTTCCGGAGTGGGTGTCGCCGCAGGGAGACCGAGTCGATGTACGTTATGTTGAGCCGCGGTCCGCCGTAACTCTGTACTGTCAAACATAGCGTCATAGGGGTTCTCGTATGTAGAGCTTGATCGTGAGCGCGAGAGACGTGTGACGCCTTTCTTGGTGCTGGATGTCGATGCCACACAAGCCATGTGCGGGAGTGGTACAGTGGAAGGGGCCGCGGTGTCGGTAGTGGCATGGGATTCGGATGACACGAACACCTGCGGTAGAGTGGGAGAGTCCACGCGTAACTGAAATATGTTGTGAACCTCCGTTTTTGGTTACAAGGGCCGCTGCTACGTACCTGTTGAACGCGAGAGAAGCGCTTCTCACACCCTGAACGCAGCTCGACAGCTGCTCCTTCGCCAGGGGCCTCGACTTGCAAAGCGTGGCGTGCATTCAAAGAGCATAGCGTGCTGTTAATGTAGACGTTGACGATCATGAGGTTCACGATGAGGTGGCTGTAAGAAATCCGAGTTAGCTGGTCAAGTAGTGAGCTTAAACCCCGGAGTACTGACAGCGCTTGTTTGCGCTAGATTGAACCCAATCAGATCATGACGTTGGCTTCAGGAGGCTATAAACGTACGTAGAAGAGGTATAGCACAAGATCCAAGGACACCACGACCGTAGATGTCAGACCAGTCTGCCTGTGTGCGCCTTAGCATGTAAACAGATCGGGGTAGCCTGGACGTACAATGTGAGACGAACAATGCAGTCGATCACACGATCAGAGTCCGCGAAGCCAATCTTCTGCCGTCGCAAATACAGCACCAAGGTAGATGTGATGATAGCGTCGCACATCACACTCGCGACGAGCCATATGATCACGAAGATCTTCGTCCTGATGTCGTGTAGAAACTCAAGAAAGTAGGGGTTTCGGAAAGCGAGCGCGCCCGTAACGACTGTTGCAATGAATTGGATCACGGAGAGTGTCCACACGATATAGCCAGCGAGCATGTTTCCGGTAACTTTGCGAACGCGATGGCCGAAGAAACCCTGGGTTAGCAATCCAACGATCCCGGCGAAGAAGAGCTCAATGTCGAGGGCTACGAGAACGTTGGTTTCAGTAACGCCTCGAACCCGTATTACGAGATTACTCACACCAGTTAGATTTGAGAAGATAATCAGCATCGCCGAAGTGCAAAATCAAGGCGCTATAGATGTAATACCCATTGAATACCAGGCTCAGCGTTGCTAGCAAGAGCAGGGATGCGACCTGAAACCGCCCAGGATGAGCCTGGGATTGTGGGCAACAACGTGGACTTACCATCAGCCCCAAAATAACTCCAGCAGTACCTCTTGACGCGTGTTCTTGGAAGTACCGGTGGGCCTGACAGCAGTTTACCCCATAGAGCACCAGAGTGAGCGCGATACCCAGTAGTATCGGTCCCTGGCTGTAGGAGGTTCTATCAGTAATGGATGATAGAGGCATGTACAATCACAACGCACATCTTGAACGCGATATGTTGTCCGCTGGGGTCGAGGCCGCTCATGACGCGTTGCAAAGCCAGGGCAGGACCAGCTGGTCGCTCCCTTCCCGTTCATGATATATACATCATCCATCCCGGCGGCCACGCACATGAAGATCGACGACGGTGGCAAGTGACGGAGTCAGTTGGCAAGTTAGCATACTGCTAGTCCACAAACGGGGTGTTTTGCTAGGAGTTTGCGGCAAGTCGCGGAGCCAAAGCAGTCGCGGTATCCTTATGTGGACTCATGCACCGGACTGGCGAGACACGCACAGGGGTGACGGGTGGTATGTCTCGTATGTGACGCCTAAATCGCGCAGAAACGGCAGGAGGCTAGGGTAACGGAAGCTGAGTATGTGGCGACTGCTCCCGTCGACGATGGGTGTCATCGACGACGCCCCAGTTTCGAGGCTGCTGAAGCCCGAAACTCGGTGGGACGGCCCAGTTCCACGGTTGGACATACACCAAATCTATCGTTGTACAAGCACCAGCTCTGGCCATCATGGTATTATAGTTGGGAGCACTATGGCATCGAGGTAATGAGATCCAACAGCAACTCGTCGGCAGGACCAGCCGCGATTTAGCGCTTCGGCCATAGCCGATGACGATTCCCACACTAGCAACAAGACTGCCGCTTCGACTCCGGAGTACTAGCTTCAGATCGAGGGCTCTGCATGCCGGAACATAACATATGTATACATTATATGCGCGTCGTAGTCATTGTATCGTGCAAGACATATTATGCAAGTGTCGTTCACCCATCGCGTGGGCTTGGACCTTTTGGCCTGTCCAACTGATCAACGCAAGTGAAGTCCATGTTTTCAAACAATAGACTCTGTGTCGTTGTAGGGGTGAAGTGGGTCGTACTACAGAGAAGAGTTGCGGTCAGAGGTACGTCGATAGGGTAAGGAAAGAAGGCATGCTTACCGGGAACTTGCGGACCGCGATGTCTCCGCGGTACGTGTAGAAGTCGGGCACAGTGGCGGTCTATTACAGAGACGTCAGTGGCTATCCAGGAACAACTGCAAGCTGGAGAAGGCGACGTACGAGGTTCGCGCCGCCCTTGGCAGCCTCCGCACCGAAGGTCTTGACCGATTGGACACCAGAACTGTTGTAATCCAGGCGCACAGTTTGACGCGAGTCGCGCGAAGGATCGTGGAGCAGGTAATTGTGCGGCGTAATTATCATCGAGCCTGAGAGAAGTAGGTTACAAGCATCAGCATCGTTGAGAGCATTGGGAAGCATGACGCCGAGATCTACGCACCCTGAGCGGTACTGAAGACGGTGTTGGGAAGGTCACCCGTATGCGGAACATGGTGCATGCCAAGGTTGAACCAGAGGACGATGTCGGTCTGGTTGAGCGACTCGCCATCGAAGTACTTGGAGAAGTCAACGACGGGGTTGGCCGTGTCGTAATCGTTGAGAGCATGGGTCGCACGCGGCTCAGAGTCGTGCTGAACAGTCGCGTAGAGGTTGTGCGTCGCAAAGCTCTGCGAGTTCAGCAAGTTGCTGGAGTTCTATGCGAGCAGATGAGTATCGAGAGCCATGAAAAGCACGAGGAGGATGTACCTGGATTGTGAGATACATGCCGCCACCAATACCGGGCATGATGCGGTAGCCGCGGTCCTCGCCGAACGGATTGGGCTCATCCGTGTTCACGACCTACGAAAGATCAGCCGAAAGCCAGGAAGGGGCAGAGTAGGATCCATACCATAAGCATAGTCTGCGCGTTGGCTGCCCAGTTGATCTTGCCCTCGTCTTCGGACTCGACGTAAGAGCGAGCGAGCTTCATCGTGCTGCGCGTAGCGCCGTGCGACCAGGGGTAAGTCTCAGTGACAGGGTAGATGGTGTGGTTCGCGAGCGAGTTGCTCGTGCCGAGGATATCGATGTCGGCCTTGAAGAGGAGCGAGTGGTCATGCATCGAGCCAGACAGGCCATCTTTGATCTTATAACCTGCGCCGCATCAGTACGGGGATATCACAAAGAGTGCGAGGACATGCTGACCGTATTCCTCGTTGCCATAGTAGTACGCCGACTGGATGTAGCCGGAAGCGCGGACGGTGACCTCGATGGTGCCGTCGAGGTAGAAGGCGTAGTCGAAGTTGTAGTCGTAGTTGCCAACTAGACGGAGGGTGAGCGTCGCTCAGAACAGAACAGCCGAGTACGTACCTGTGCTAACCGAGCGCACGGTGAAAGCAATGTTGCGCGTTGTCGCGAGGTAAGCATCGTTCGAGTGACGTTGGATGAGGTAGCCCATGTCGTGCTCGAACATGCAGATGGAGTTGGGGTGCGTCTTGCTGACCTCGTCGGCGTGGAAGCTCGTGTTGAGGAACGTAGCATACGTGGGACAGTCATATCCTGCGAGAAGCTCGAAGGCGTAAGGACCAAAACCGTAGAAAGTGTCAAGGTAAGCACTGAACACAGCGTTAGCGAATGTATAGCCGAGAAGCGCTTAGGACACGTACGTTCCGGACTGAGTGGGGTCATTGCCAGCGTAGTGCGCAATCGCCTCCTCCAGGCCAAGCTCGTAAACGATACGCTCGCCGCGGTACTTGATGTCAAAGAGACGAAGACCGCTGTCGCGCGAAAAGCTGACGTAGAACGAGAAGTCCACTGAGCAGTTGTTAGTTCACGCTTGCACAAGTTCTTGCACGGGCACTCACTCCACTCGACATACTGGTCCTCAACATCCACCTTGTAGCGAAGGCCGTCGTCACCACCGACCGGGACACTGACTGGGGGCGGCACATTGTCGCGCCACATCGAGCTGTTAGCTCCGAGGAGAGTGTCGGGGCCCTGGTAGTCTGTGCCGATCCACGAGCCTTGGAGGTTGGCCTCAAGCTTAGGCAACTCGCCGGCCTCCCAAGCGGCGCGGAACGTCTCGGTGCTGTTGTAGTAGGTGTTCGCCCACAGCCAACCGATGACGGACCACTGCGAAGGATCGCGACCCGTCTGCACAAGGCGTAAGCACACTCAAGCGCCCATACCGATAGAAGACATACCGAGTTCATCTCGAAATAGAGACCCTGCGGGAGAAGAGTCTCGCCGTCGAAAATAGCATTGTCGCCGCTCGGGATAGCCCAGTATGTTACCCATTGGACCGTTGTATCGGGCGTCGGGTGCCAAAGAGGGTCAATACCCCAGATGTCAAAGTCGTCGTCGTCGCTTCCGGTGACCGTGCCGTTGAGAAGATCCTGAATGATGTCCTGTACCGAGATAGAAACGTTGACCATGAACTCATATGTAACATCCTCGTCGGCGTCGAAGTCGCGCTGAACTGCGGTGCCCTTCGTACTGGCCCAGTCGAGAGAGAAGTACGACGAGTTGTCCGAGATAGGCAGCGGTCCAATCTGAGCACCTTGTTAGCAGAGGCTACAGTTACCAGCACAGCACAGACGACATACCTGGAACTCCTGCATCCAAGGCTGCTCCGTGGCGCCGAAGTAGATCACCGCGCGCCCATAACGCTCCGGCGCCGGACCATCTCCGTCCAGATACGCGAGCACATCCGTCTTGTTCGGGCGGAGGATGTCTACAACGGTGATGGCATTATCCCACCTGCACAACGTGCATCATCAGCTGGCCATTCCACAAGAGCATCGAAGCCGTCGAATAGACATACGTTCCCGCATCCGAAGACGCTGTCAGGTTGAGCGCGGTCTGGTTGTGCAAGTAGGATACGATGTCGGCCGCCTCGTCGTCGGTAAGCTGCGCCCATACGTTTGACTTGGGCGCTGATGCCGAGGGCGCCTTGGCTTGCCAACCAGTACCAGTGAAGGACGTCGAGTCGCGCGAGCCGGACGGGCGCTTCGCCGATGAGCGCTGCGCCTGTTTCGTGCCAGGCTTGCCGACGCGCGGGACTTTGGCGCCCACGAGCGCGGCAGCGGAGAGCGCGAGCCAGAAAGTGCTGGTCCGCATCGCGCTGAACTGGAGACGTTGGCTGGAGGCGCTCGCCATGGCTGTGGCGTACGCTTATATCCCCGCGCGCTTGCAAACTCGAACCACGGGCGTGTACGTACTGTACGCAGCCAGGGCGCCCGGAGACTGTAGAGATAAGCGCTTGCCGCAGATAACGCCCACAAGCGCTTACACTTCCGTCGTCACTCCACTCGATGTGAGGGCCGGTAAAAGATACCAAACGTGATCCGTTTTGAGTCAGGCCGGCCAAAGAGCGTTCCAGCGTATATCTTTGGAAGCCGGCTCAGGGCGAGGGTCATTATGCATAGCGGTATGCGGTCAACGACGAGATGCATTCAGAGCTCTTGATCAAGACGGAGTGATAGAAGCTTCGCTGTTGATATGAGCGCTTCGACCTTCTCAGCATCTGTGCGTCCGTCTGCACATCGTCGAGTACAACACATGTATGGCAGGCATGTATAGTGCAAGAGTAGACAACTAGACGGTAAGAGTCAAGTTGCCTGGATAACCAACGTCAAGTGAAATCACGTTTCTCGCGCTAGCATTTCCGACGCCATTTTCCTCCCGGCCTACCGCAGGCACAGCACCCTCCCAACAGCCTATCTCGTCTCTCCGCCATCCTCGGAGCGTCGATCAACGGCGAGACGGTGGACGAGCCGTCCCGCTGTACCCAATACGAACGCGTGCTACACGCGGCGAAGACAGCGGATTCGCAAAAAGGCTGATAAGAAACTCGGAATTTTGTCTTTCGGCCGGGTGCCTGCGGTCATCGGAGGTTGCGTTGTAGGCGACGGGGTAACCTCTACGGTACTCTTGACAGATGTGAAAGCTGCGCGCAGTGCTCCTTATCGTAGAGGGCGAACGTTCGCCATGTGTAGTCATACACATCTCCGTGATCGAATGAAGCTTTAGCTAGAGGTGGAGGAAATTGAAGGCCGGGGATCGGCCTGCTCACTACTGCTTTGAGACTGGCTGCCGTGGTCGTTCGCAAGGACGGGCTGTAGGCAAGAGCAAAGTGATCAACCGCGCGCGTGTGGCCCTTGGACGCCTACGCCCTGCGTACTCTGCGAGAGTGATTCAAACCCACGCACCCTGCTCCCAAGATTCAATCCAAGAACAGAATAATTCACAATCTCTGTATAAAAGGAAGAAGAAAAAGGAGAGACAAAGACACAAGACCATACTACGCGAGACATACGTCAAGGATCGGAAACATCGAGAGTACTCAAAAAAGAACTAGTAAGACGGGAGGACGGGAGGGCATGAATCATGACCGTGATCGCGACGTGAGTAGAAGTGTGAGAGGGCGTATACTGGTTGTACACGATGTTTGTTGTATGTTATAAGAACGCGCGAGATGGTGTAGGCGGATGTACAAGGGGAGGTATGCGGCGCGAGGGGGTATGTATGTAGAGGTGTTCGGGGGGTTGAACGGTGGTCACGGATTTAGGTCGACGTCCATGGTACAGAGGGTCGAGGGGGAGATCGCTTATGAGCTTGCCTTGGCCTGGCGGAAGCGCAAAAGCGGGGCAAGACCGGAGAGCTGGCAGGATTTCTTGAGGAACTCGTGCTGTTGACACGCGTTAGCGTCCATTCTTGGTTCAACATAACGTAAGGCTGTGAGCTCACCTCAAGCAACTCATTCGCCGTCGCGCGACTCTTCACATCCACGCACAAACACACGCTCAAGAAGCTCTTGAGCTCGCGGCTAAGCGCTTCGGGCTTCTTGAGCGTCGGTGTACCGTTCGTCGCGATGAGGTACAGCGCCTTGAGCGGCTCCTCATCGAGGTACGGAGGTTCCTGCTCGATCATCTCAATGGCCATGATACCGAGCGACCAAATGTCGACTTTGGCGCCGTACTCCTTCTGCTTGACGACTTCGGGCGCCATCCAGTAGGGCGTGCCCACCATCGTCGCGCGCTTGGACTTTTGGTCTGTGAGCTTGGCACAGAATCCGAAGTCGGCTGTGAAGAAGTTAAATGCGGTCAGTACGGGATGGGAAGGGCCGGAAGGGGATAGTACGCACTGATCTTGACACGGCCCTGGGCGTCAAGGAGGACATTGTCGGATTTGATGTCACGATGGATGATATGCTGTTCGTGGAGATGTCCGAGGCCCTTGCACGTCTATCCCGCCGTCAGCACAGTGGACATCAGCCAAAAGGGGGAGGAACGCACCTCATTGCTGATACAAGCGATCTGATCCTCCTCCAACGTATTGTTCTCAATAACATCCGTCAACGCGCCTCCCTCCATATACTCCATCGCGACCCAAAGCTCCACGCCCTTCAACAGATACGAGTCCAAAAAGTTGACGATGTTCGGATGGCTGCTCTCCTTCATAACCAGAATCTCATTCACGATGAGCTCCTTCCGCGGCTGCGTGCTCAGATCCATCTCCTTGATCGCGACCTTCTTCCCCGTCGCCAGCGTCTTCGCAACATAAACGTGCCCGGACGCGCCCTGCCCGATCTTCTTGATCTTGCTGTACAGCAGCTTCGGGTCGTCCGAGCTCACGACGCTCCTGAGCTTCGCCATGATCTGTTCCTCGCTGAGCGTCGAAATCCGCTTCTCGACCTCGCGTGGCGGCTTCTTCTCCAACGCGGCAGCGGCAGCAGCGACGCTCCCATCGCCCTCTCCCTCGTCCCCATGCAGATTCTTCTTCGACGGCTGTGGGCTGGGACCAGGCTTCTTCACCTGCAGCGGCTGAACAGACGGCTTGTCCTCCTGCTCCCTCTGCTCCCTCTCCTTCTCCCTCTGCCTCTCGCGCTCCTTCTCCCGTTCGCGCTCGGCCTTCTGCCGCGCCCGCCTCTCCTCCCTGGCCCGCTCCTCCCTCTCCCTCTCGCGCTCCTCACGCTCGCGCCGTTGCTGCTCGAGGCTATCGCTCCGCGGCGGGACACCCTCTGCCAGACCAGGCGGACCCTGGGCCTTCGCCCGCGCCCGCAGATCCGCGCTCGTAGGCGTATGTTCAGGTACACCGGGCTTGGATGGTGCAGGGCGGGTACCGGTGAGCAGAGGACGAGGAGGCGCAGGGCGCGAGGCCTGGAGGTCGGCGCCGTTGCCGTTTGTCGGCTTGTTGCTGCCGTAACCGCCGTTGACGTAGTCCGCTGCGCGGGCGAGGTCACCGTTCGTTGGTGTCGTGGCGCTGCTGGGGGATGTGTCGAGGCGGGAGATACCGCTTGGGAGTTCGGGGAGAGGCGTCAGCTTGGACATTGAGCCGCCGAGACCGGTGCCGGCGTTAAACCGGGCGGGAGTCGTTGATGCTGTAGGAGAGCGGTATCAGCTACCAGAAAGAATGCGCATATTGAGAATGAGGGGGGACATACGTGTGGTTGGGCTTGCACCCATGCGCGTCGAGGGGGAAAGCCCGAGCTCCTCCATCTCGCGCTTCTGGTGATCGGTGTAGAACTCGAGGACCTCAAGAACTGCTTGTGGGTTGCGCTGGTAGTCTTCGCGGGTGATAGCAGATTTGGTGAGTAGTTTAGACCATTGCTCAGGCATGCCCTACGACAGGAAGTGTGGTTAGCTATCATATCTGGTGGTTGAAGCGGTTGAATCGAGTCTGTAGCCAAATCGAGAAGAGAATGGATCCACATGACAGGATGTGTCAAGTCGACATGCTCGAAACGGACATGTCGAGAAGGAGAAGAGAACAAGGGCTCGTTGACGGCACCCCGCGCGCCAATAACCGCCGCGGCGCGTGATTCGCTCACTAAAGCGAGATGGAAGCTCGAAGATCGCGGTCGCGAAGGTCTCGCTCGGCGCAGCGCGATAGGCAAGACCGGAAGCAACGGCGGACAAAGAGTTGAACGCTAGCACCAGTCCTCAACAAGAGGCTGAACTCGATCAACCGCCCGCCCGCCGCGGGGGTGGTTGGATGTTAGTGGCGGGTTGATGGGATTGTCCCTGACACAAGGCGGGCGCGATGCCACCAATAGCGGTGCAGCCGCCGTTATGCTCGACAGACCGCAGGCGCCCATGTACAAGCTCGAAGGAGATACTCACGGTGAAGGCGCCGGATACGGGATCGAAGCCGACGTGGACCTTGTGTACGAAGTTTGTGGGGTTGGATACGCCGGAGAGTGGAGAGCGCGAGTAAATGTCGTCCTGCCATCCGTACAGCTCCTCGTCGCTCTTCAATGACAGGAAATATCTCCTCTGCTGGGCTTCGAGCAGGAGACAGTACGGCTTGAGGTCTGTGCGTTCGATGTTGGACAGCTCAGTCAGCGACACCACGTTCTGCGCCGGCGCGGTCTGTGTGATCTTGTGAGTATATTATATTCACAATACAATATCGAGGGATGTACCTCATTCTTGTGTATGCTCAAGCTCTGATCGCGGAGGACGAGGAACTTGTCGCGCCAGATCCAGCTCGAGAACGTGTCCTCCTTGAAGCCAACATAGCCGCTCCTCACGATCCCCGGCGTGCCCGAGCCCGAGCCGCCGCCATTATCGCGCAGAGGGAAGCCGCCGATGCCGGGCGAGGCGCCGAGTGTGGCGGTGCTGTAGGACGAGCCGGCGAAGGAGCCGTTGGTGCTGCTCGACGTGCTGCCTTGTCTGAGCGGTGCCGGAGGTGCGGGCCGCGACGGCGTGAGCGACGACGCGGAGAGTGCATTGTACGCCATCCCGTGCTATCTGGTCCGCTTCGCGTTCTTTATTTCTATTTCTTGGGTCGGGATGGAGATCGGGATAGCGCGCGGTGGGGTCGACGAACGAAGCGAGACGGACGGACGGGAGATGCAACCAAACCAAGGCCCACGCCCGTTGCCGAGTCGCGATCACGAATCAGCTGCCCTATCTCAGGCTATCTGGCCAATCACTATTCATCGCCACATCATTGTTGTATCCTCAACCTCGAGTTCATTTACGAGCCTCGAGGCGATCCGCCTGCTGGCCTCGAGTCGTGTCTGCTTCTGCTACTGCTCGCTACGTTGGCTATCACGTTCGCGTTGTAGCTATAGTGACAGGGAAGATCATCGTCGTGCTTCCATGTCATGTTCTTCGAAACATTCGACCTTCCTCGCTCGCAACAGGCTAGGTAATTGCTAAGTAAGCGTTACAGGATTGGCGCTTGTTCTGTTGACAGCCAATCATCAATGATGGCTAGAGGGGTTTACATCAGAGGCGTTCGTGGCTGTACGCAATGCGTTGAGGGTGGGTGTGCACCACAGATCTGCCTATCACTGCATGCAGGTATCAAACGACTGAGGACGGCGTCCTTTTGCTAGGTCTCTCTTAGTATAGTCATGATACTACACTGGCGGCGAGGCCGGTGAGGGCTCCTCCACTCGCAGCGGCAACGGGCGAGTAGATCGTGTACGGCCTGGTAAGTTCTCGGTCAACGTTTCAACATTCCACGGACGTCACAGAACGTAGGACGTATCCGTAGATCATACGACTCCTGGTGTGCATATGGAAGCATCGTGCGGAGAGTAGCCTTTGCAGTAGTGCCCTTGATATGGGTGTGCAGGGTGAAATGAACACTTGGGGTCCATTGAGAACATTAGCAGAAGCGGTCGGTGCCCTGCGCATGCCACGCCGCCCAACCAAGCTCAGTTCGTGACGAGACCTCGGCACACCATCTTCGCTGGCGTCAATAACTGATACTGGTCGGCATTCGGTCACCGTAGACAAGATTCGGCTACGCCCAACAGCCACTCAGCTGGGTCACATTTCCCGCTCGCCCGTTGAGTCTCAGCGCGTTCTCTCTACTCTTTCTCCTTCTCTCGCGCTAGCGCGACTCTCTTCCTGGCCATATCGGACGACAGCTTGTGAGAGTAAAGACACCAATCCGCGCGTCAATGCTCGGGCGAGACCTTCAAATGCGTGTGAGACCGTAGCCGCTTGAATGTAGCAGAAACGGGCATAATAGTGGTGTATAGTGTAGTACAGAGCATGACATAGCAAGAGTCCGAGGAGTAGATCTACTTGTTCTTCGAGAATCTGTATAAACCGTGAGTTCCGTTGAATGCAGAGAGGCAGAGCAGAAGTGACGCACTTGTATGTGAAGCGCTTTTTTGTATGCGCAAACTCGCCCAGTTTATGCCCGACCATATCCTGCGTGATCGTGACTGGGTGGTACTCCTTCCCGTTATGCACTTGGAACCGTAACCTGTGTGCGCGCGTCAGCGTTGAATCCCCTGTTCGCCACTGTCCAGGTTCTCGGGACCCGGTTCCATCATCATGCAGAGTCATTCCATGACCCGTGTAGAGCGCATATGAACTTGCTATGAATGAATGGAGGGTCACTCACCCTACGAAATTCGGCAAGATGGTACATGCACGCGCCTTTGTCCTGATGGCCACGTTGTTCACCAACGCATCGCGCAAATTAGGGAAAGCAACAAAGAATGGGCCTGTTGAAGGTGCCGCAAAGATTTAGGTGACGGGCCGGGATGTGTAGTACGCGGTACGGCGCAGTGTGGGCACAGCAGAGATACGGACAGTATATTAGCAAAGGAACGAGGTGTAAGAGAGAGTGTGAGACACGCCTTTCCATGCCGAACGGCCAGAACGAGCTACCAGAGAAGCATGCATGGTGTACAGGGCCAAGGGGCGTCGCGCGAGTTCGCGCGCTGTACTCCAAAGTCCGAAGCTCGGCGCGGAGGAAAGCCACGTGGAGGTATTGATCGCCGAAAACGCGTGCGTTTCCAGTTGGATTCGACCACGATGACCTCGGGAGTTGAAGATGTTGGACTGGTCTGGAGCGATGATGCCCTTTGCCCTACTCTTTCTACCAGCCCCGTGCTAGTACAACTGGAGACTCGTGCAAAAGCGACGTGCTTGATGAAGCGACCGCCATCTATCGACCTCTATCAAGTATGGATTCAATGAACCACGCCCACGGAGAGCTATTCCACGCTAATAGCAGATGGCTATATACCCTCTTTGCGACGTTACCTGAGGAAATATTCTACTGCTATCTCATCGTCGGATTGGCCTTCCGGCGAACCCCGAGCTCCTCGGATATAGCTGCTGAAGTGGATAAGCCGGCTGTGGTTCGCAAGTAATGCACCGGTACCGCAAGATGCTCTACACTGCCATCTCTTCGCAAACCTCACTAAATTCTACGCAGCCATGCGAATCCGACTTCTCGGAGGTGTCCAAGTCAGCTTCGTCACCAAGGACCGGCAACGGCGGATGTGCCTTCACTTCGACTTCACTGCTATTGCACTAACGATCTGTTCGGACCCCTACAAGACATGCTTCAGCATGCTCACATCCGCCGAGCTATCTTGTGGCGACGAATGACAGGACTCGCCAGCTGGATTGCCGCACGTTGTGGACATGCACCGTGAGGCGTCGCGTGCTGCCAGTCGTAGCTGGCTTCTCTCACACAAGACACGAGGCTAGCATGAGTACGTACGACTTCGGTTATCTGATTTTACAATACGCGAATCATATGGACACTTGTGCTCTTTACAGGTACTGACATGCGGGCTGAGATGTATCGCTCAATGGAACACACAAGAAGCAATTTCTAGGCTTAAGTGCCGTCCAAATACGGCGACTTTGACCGGTGTGGCGAGCGCACTGCTTTCCCCTGTGGCCCTACCCATTCACGCATCTCTCCAGCTCCCAAAAGGGGGATACCCTCAAGTTCTTCCGGACTTCGAATCATCGCCATACTTTCCTCGTCAATCCCGACATCCAGAGAAGGTGTCAAGTACTCGTTCATTCGTCGGTGCAAGTCTTGCCTAACAACATGCCTTCTGTAGTATGAAGGTGAGACTGTGGCAAGCATTGAAGGGCGGACGGTGGAGAGAAGTACAGCATAAGGTGTGGACTGGTATAAGGACCCGGCAAAGTGTGCTCGTACTGAACACAATCTCCAGCCTCGTCTTTGCAGCAAGTCCCTTCGCAATGCCCGATATCAAAGTATTCGACAATCTTCAAGGCCTCCTTCAGCGGACTATCTCGGGACTCGGCCGAGCTACACGTACGTGTCACCTCCCGGTTCAGATGTATACGTGATCGCTCACACGTCGACCACAGTGGGGCAATATTTCTCGACCGTATTGCGAGCGCCCCGCCCTCCTGAGCCCTCAGAGAAGGACAGGCCACGACAGCAAAGAGCGACTAGTGTGCACCGTAAGCGCGACCTCGCTTCGGTATACTTCAAATACTCACTTCACCTTCAGAGCAGGAAGAGAAGTTCTGGAAACTATACTTCGACTTCATCGCGGAGAGATATGATAAGCAACTGATGGAAGGCTGGATGGGGGACACAAACGGCATCACGTTCTTTGTAAGCCATCCGCTGTCTGCTGTAGTCACATACCGAACGACTTGCTTTGCAGACGGGCTTGTTTGCGGCCGTCGTCGCCACATTCGCCAGCGGCAGTCTCACGATGCTTATGGCTCAACGCACTACCGCCCTTGTATGGATCAACATCCTATGGTTCGCCGCTCTCTTCATCTCCATCGTATGCGGGTTTCTCGCAATCAAGATTATGAAGATGGCCCGACAGTACGATCGTGAATACCGCAATCGCGAATGTCGCGAGGAGCGTGGGCCCGCGCATCTAACTGGCGCCCAGCGTGTGACCCTCAGCATAGCCATCCAAGTTTTATCCGTGCTGCTGCACGTTGCGCTGTTCCTGTTCTGTGCCGGCATTCTCGTCTCTCTCTTCGCTGCCGACATGGCCGTAGGATGGACCATCACGGTGCTAATGGTCATCAGCTTCGGCTTCTACCTCATCCTCTACACGCTGCCCTACTTCTTCTTCGGGAAGGACCACGACAACCGCCTTCACGCCCGAAGTCTTATCCGCACCGTGCGGTCCCTCGTATTGCGCAAGGATACCCCAATGCTCAATAGCATCACGTCGGAAGACCTGCGCTCGGCTCTTCGATTGCTCGTCTCGAACATTGATGACCCTCAAGAGGCGCGCAAGGTGTTCGACGTCATCACGCCTATGCTGTCGCTTGGGAAGGACAATTGGCATCCGGCCGGGGCGACTCCGCACGACATTGCCGAATTCCTCGTGGCGCAGACGAAGGTCCTCGCAAAGCTGAACATCCTCATCGGCTCTTGCATCTTTCGTGGCACGCGCGCGTACAACGAGGAAGACTGTCACCACCATCTCCACAGTGCCTACACCTTCTGGCAAGTCATTATCGCGACACTTCCCTCGGACCCGTCCGTGGCCCACGATACCGTATTTTTGGCTCTAACGAAGGAGTACGGGGTCCCGGAGATCGGCCGGCCTCTACCTCCGCTCACGGAGTCCAAGCTCTTCTACGGCAAGAATCTCAGCTTCGCCTTCAACTCTACGGCGTTGATGGCCCGCTGCTACGCGAACCTCATGCGCGGCGAGGAGCACCGTCTCATGGAGGACTGGACGGCCGGGTGGGATATCGAGAAGGCATTGGAGCTTATGCCAGACTACGCTTCGAGCAAGACCACTTCGGCGAACCTCTTGGCTATCGCGAGCGGCGTGTGCAAGCAGGGGAGACAGGCCTGTGGCCGTTGTTCGCTTCTGTACTTCCTTCGCGATGTCATCGACTTCGGCACCAACGTCAATGGTCGTGCGCATGCGGCGGCCGTTGGGAAGTCTACGGTCTACGAGCTTTCTACGAACAACGCCAAGTGGTGGAAGCTCATCTTCTTCGAGCTACAGAAGTCTGTCAACGTATCCGCCCGGCCCGGCGACAAACTTGACGATTTCCCGGACGCCAACACAGCACCCGCGCATACCGCTTACAAAGGAGTTCTTCAACTCCTCGTGCATCTCGGACTTGAGAATGTCATTCAAGGCGACCTGGCGGTAAATAGCATGGCGGAAATGTCGGACGACTCGCACAAGGCCATATTCATCGCATTCCCATTCCTTGTGGACTGCCTGAAGGACCTCACCGTATGGCTCAAGACGGGTCTGCCATCCGGCATGGACATGAACCAACTCAGTCAACTGCTCCTCGGCGCGGACCACTCTCAGGTAACCCAAACAGTCGCGAGGACTACTTCTAGCGTATACGATGTCGGTTCGCCGGTTACGCCTCGCCGAAGACAGATGCACGCGGTACCACTGAGCCGAACAGGCGCATTCAAAGGTATGGCCCTTTTTCTTGATCACGCTGTACTCTTTTGACACTCGGTATAGTCGAACTACGGACCATCAGCGAGTCTCCACGCGAGAATGAGAACCCGACCGAACCATCTGCGCCGCGCATACAATCTTCTCACTCAGTGCCAGTCTCTCTCCACAGGCTTCAGATTCCTGGAGGCGTCGCTGAGAAGCAGCGGAAACGCGCGGCTATGCACGTCGGTGAGTGCTCCGAGGCTCTGGAGTTTTCTCGCGATTTCCTCACCTATATTCCTCAGGCAACGTCTGCACTCGTTGAGTGCTCGAGTCGGCGCTCACCGCATCAGTCTAGACAGGGTCTCGTCTAACCTTCATTCTGAACGTTCATATATCTGTATCTACGACGGTCTGTATGGCCCCTCTTAATATCTATGACATGCACTCGTAACTTAAGCCTTAGCCGTATGCCTAGTAGTGCATGTTCTCGCTAGCCTAGCTTGTTGATAGTAGAACCACTGTATGAAGACAAGATCGCTATGTACAAGGGGCTTCATACGTGACAGCGCGAGATAGAACAACACGAAGAATAACATCGGCTCTATGAAGGACCCAGGATGCAGCACTGCCTGAATCAGAGGTTATCGACGGAGACACCGCGCTCGATAAGTATCTTCTTGCTCTCTTCCGCGAACCTGAACGTGTTGTAACCAGCGGGATCGAGCTCTGCGTAGAATGTCTTGTAGTCGTACGGCGTCAGCGGAATGTTGTACTGGAGTCGAATAGGGAGATCGGGCTAGCGAATGTCAGGATGCATGGAGGGGACATGGGGCAGCGTGATGGCTCACGTTGGAGGTGTAGTGGCGGCCAAATGCGATCAGTTCGTTCTCGTTAGCGTCGGCTTGCTTAATGGCCTCGTCGCGCTCGTAGCCACCGTTTGAGATGTAGGGTTTGCCGCGCCAGATCTCGCGAATGAAGCCATTCGACTCGGTGCTCTTGGCGGTACGCCCGAATAGAGCACCGAGGCGAGGCTCTGAAACGTGCAAGTATGCAAGCTCGGGATGAAGGCGCCGAGCTTCTGAGACGAAGTACGTGAAAGTAGGGATGGGGTTGTCGTTCTCTGTTAGGCAAGCATTGGTGAGATGATGCTAGCGGTCGTGAACGAGAGATCGCATACCATAGCCTTTGGCACGCGTCGTATCCCAAGGCGTGAGCTTCACTCCAACGCGGTCCGCGCCGATCCCGTGTGAAACAGCACCGAGAATCTCCAAGGCAAAGCGTGCGCGATTCTCTGGACTCCCACCGTATTCGTCCGTGCGCTTATTCGTGAACTCCTTGAGGAACTCGTCCACGAGATACCCACCGGCGAAGTCAAGCTCGACGCCGTCGAAACCCGCCTCGTCTATAGCCGCCCTTGCCGCCCGAACATGCAATTGTACGTACTTCTTGATCTCTTCATGCGTAAGCGTGCGCGGTGCTTTGCTGTGACCTTCAACAGGGACGCCAGATGCGGAGATGTACGGGAAGGTGGGATCCACTTCAGCGAGGATATCTGGGTTCGCCTCCCGGCCAATAGCCCAAATTTGTAGGTATATGAACGACCCGCGAGCGTGCACAGCGTCGACGACCTTATTGCAACGTAAATGAATGGTAACAGTATAGATGTGTCAGGATGACTTGCCTTCTTCCAGCCGGCTGTCTGTTCGGGAGACCACACACCTGGTGTATGTTTCCATGCTTCGATTGCGGCGTCTTTAGGAGTGATGAAGGTGGCCTCGGTGATGAGTAGAGTGCCCGGCACAGCTGCCCGCAGAGCATAATGCTCCGCGACATCGTCGCCGACGGCACGGGTGACTTTGTCGACGCGGTTGCGAGTCAGTGCGGGCATCACCACACGATGCTGCAGAGTTGTGCGACCGAGTTGGATAGGCTGAAAGAGGTGAGATTGAGACATTGCGTCGATACGGGGCGGTGGGGGGTGGCGGGGTTGGATCATTCAAAATGACCTTCTATATAGCTGTTCATGGTTGCAACGCTGACAGAAGAGGACGACGACGAAAGTTGCGCAATGTCTGGAAGTATAGTATGACAGAGACTCGCGTCCTCGGGTTGAGTAGATAATCATGTCGTTTTACCTGGTGTTTTGACGCGGCGATGGCGAATTCGGGTTAGAAATGACAAGGTTTATAAGCCACGTTAGAGCACGAAATGCCTCGGTATCCTGGGAGTGCCCATACCGATCACCACCGGAAATGACAAGGGCACCGACCGTGCACGCGTAGATCTACACTCAACGTTCGTGTGGGTACTGTACATCAGCCGCAGGCATAGCAGTCTGAGGCATATAGAAGGCGTCATTGTCATTTGCAAGCTGACGACGACCGGTCGGTCGAGAAGATATAATATGTGTGACAAGCGTTAGCGCAGCATGAGAGCAGTCACTCAAAGAGCACGCCTTCCACGTTGAAAGTATATGGCGGCGGTGGTGGTCCGTTGCCAAAGTGCAAGGCAGCAAGATGTTGGCGTCGTGACAAGAGGAGAGCAACAACGCGCCGATTGACGCGACCGCGGCTTGATCTCAACCATCACCTTGCGAGTGCAGCTGGGGTAGCAGTAATCGCATTGCTCGTGTCTTAGCCTTTCTCGCCTACGAAAAAAGGAATCAGTGTGACGTGCGAAGTCCATCCGTGCGCCGTTTCACAAAATTCGAGCATTCAGGCCGTTTGCGCCTGACACATGCGCCCGGTACCCAGCGTTCGCCCACGACCAGACTTTCTTGGGATACTTTGGTCTCGTCGTACAATGCCACCGGACTATAGTGCATATTCGAGAGAACAATTATTGGCGCGCATCAAGGCCCTTGAAGATGCCATGCCCGGGGTCCCTCTTCATCTGAACCCACCTACACGGCCTAATCCATCAACAAAGTCTGGAGCAGCAAAGCTTGTCGCGTCGTCCAGCAAGCTTGCACTTTCCGAGGCACCGCCCATCGACTTTCGCATTCACGCACGCCGCAAGATCGCTTTGCGCTTCTCGTATGCAGGAGATGAGTATAATGGACTTGCACATCAGACCCTTCCTACGCCATTGCCGACAGTTGAGGGTGCACTATTCGCGGCAATGGCAAAAGCTCGGCTAGTGGATCCAGCTGGCGGGTTCGACGCCTGCGGTTGGGAGCGCAGCGGTCGGACAGATCGCGGGGTTAGCGGCGCGGGGAACGTCGTGAGCCTCTGGGTTCGGAGCCAGTTGAAGAAGGATCCGCGAGAAGGTGCATGGGAGCCTCCGACCATGAGCGAGCAGGAGGAGACAGCGGTGACGTCCGGGGACACGAGCGAGGTTGAAGGAGCCTCTGGCGATGATAATGGGCTAGATGCTTTTGCAGACCTCGATCTCGACGCCGCACCGGCACGCACGTCCATTCCCGATGCCCCTACGCATTCTCGCGAATTGCGTTATGCGCATATGCTAAATCTCATACTACCACCTTCGATCCGCATCATTGCTTGGTCTCCCGTGGCCTCGGACTTCTCGGCGCGATTCAGTACCCTACGGCGACACTACAAGTACTTCTTCTCTCCGCGAGGCATGGACCTAGAGAAGATGCGGGTAGCGGCAATCAAAATGGTTGGAGAGCACGACTGGCGTAATCTGTGTCGCGTCGATGCAAGCAAGCAATTGACGAGCTTTAGGCGGCGTGTCTTCCGTGCCGACATCACAAAATGCACAAATCTGGACGCAGACCCAGACAATCCTGGCGTGGAGGGCCTGTACGTCTTTGATCTGATTGGATCTGGCTTTCTGTATAACCAAGTACGGCACATCATGGCCGTGCTCTTCCTCGTTGGCTCGGGACTCGAGCCGCCCAGTATCGTCGACGCACTGTTGAATGCCGATGCATCATCGCCAGACCCCGACCCGAGTGTCCCGTTATTGGAGCGTCGGCCAGAATATCTCATGTCCGATGCGCTGCCACTGGTGTTGTGGGACTGCGCATACAAGAGCGAAGACGTGAACTGGCGGGGCGATGCGGGCGCTGATGAAGACGAGGGTCCAGGCGCGAAAAGTGTTCACTATCAACTTAGTGGTGCCCTCGAACGTGCAAAGATACATGCCGCTCTCGACGCATGTTTTTTGGCGGCGGCGGCCCGCTATCATCCACCTCTCGATGACGGGCTACCGCTCGCGAGTCCAAGTGACGTCGGGCGTAATGGATTTGCGAATGTGCTGCTTGGAGGAGGTACCAACGCAAGGGTACGGCGGTACGTTCCACTGCTGGAGAGGGGACGACGTGATAGCGTGGAGGAGATCAATCGCAAGTGGAGAGAAGGGAGAGGGAAGCGTCGAAATAATCGAGCAGATGAGAGCGCTCCAATACAAGTAGACGGCGACGAGTAAATGTGACAATTATGCGTATCACGTTAATTTGTACAGTTCCAACATATCGTCTATCCACTGGCATTACTTGCGTACAATGCACCGCATTGCCGTCGCATGCACAAGTCACTGAAATCACTGGGTATACTCGCCGCCTCGCGTATACCGGAGCTAAGCTCATGTAGAGACAGCTTCCGGCGACATATATTGCAGTGCGCACTCTTTCTGTGTAATCCAGCTTAACGCTGAATTTGCCGCTCCGACCTGACGCCACAATGTATTTTGACAGATAATATATCTTAAAGGCGAGATGGCCGAGCGGTCTAAGGCGCCAGACTAAGGTCACTTGAACCTGCAATCTGGTCCGAAAGGGCGTGGGTTCGAATCCCACTCTCGTCAAACGATTTTTTCTCCCGGAAGAAACGGGGAAGATCGAGAGGTAACATGGCGGAACGGAGGCGGGCCGCGGAATTCGTACATTGATCCCGCAGCGACATATATCAGCATTATCTGTAGCTATTCCGAATGTCTCACGTGGGACGCTACCACTGTAGGCTCCGTGACAAGCAAAATATGGCTCATACCTGTCTCCGATACGATTTTGCGACGATTTCCTCATCTCAAAGCCACGTGATCGCGTTTCTCGAAGTCAGCCGTGAACCTGCAGCCGCACCACGAGTGTGTTTGCTTCTTGCCGTCATCTCCTCTGCGCTTCGCTTTCCTGTTTTGGTTACCTTCATGAGAGATGCAGCACGATCATGACGAGGATGCATGGGAGAGGAGGGATCAGCTACAATATAATGGGCTCGGGCTGACTGATCCAATCAAAAGTGTAGAGGTACGTGGGCACAGTCACTACGGTGTGGCTCGTGCCGACAATTTGCCACAGGATAAATGGTTGCTCCTTCCAGCTTTTCTCAAAGTCAAGGGTCTTGTCAAACAGCACATTGACTCCTTCAACTACTTTGTGGACGTCGACATCAAGAGCATTCTCCGCGCGAACAACAAAATCACTTCGGATGTCGACCCTCGCTTCTGGCTGAAGTATACCGATATTCAAGTCATGATGCCAGACCGACCTGACGGGACAGCAACCTCTGGCAATAAAAATGTAACGCCACACGAATGTCGGCTGCGCGACACGACATATTCAGCCCAAATACTGGTCACGATTCAATACACTCGCGGAAAACAGGTCGTAAAGAGGACCGGTGTCTGCATTGGTCGCATTCCTATCATGCTGCGGAGCAACAAATGCTGGCTGGCAAATAAGAGCGAGAGAGAGATGGCGGTGGAGAACGAGTGTCCTCTCGATCCCGGGGGGTACTTTGTGGTGAAGGGGACGGAGAAGGTCATTCTCGTGCAGGAGCAGCTCAGCAAGAATCGTATCATTGTTGAGACGGATCCCGTCAAAGGGATAGTCCAGGCTTCGTGTACATCGTACGTATTGGTTATTAATAGACCATTTTGGCACGTCTTGTGCTGCCCTACATCTGCGGTATGGTCAGGGATACTTGCATCCAGTGTGAATCTCGATGAAAGCTGTCAGCGCAGCCATCCCTCAGGTCTGGGGCAGCGCAAGCGATCCATCGCGCCGATGCATCTGCTGATACTAGTCCAGGTCGACACATGGCGGTCTCAAGTCCAAGACGTACGTAGCGACGAAGAAGGGCAAGATTTACTTGCGGCACAACTCCATCCACGAGGATGTCCCAATTGTCATCGCTCTCAAGGCGCTCGGTATCCAGTCTGACAAGGAAATTCTTCTTCTCACCGCTGGTAATAACGACGCGTACAAAGATGCGTTCGCGCCGAACCTGGAAGATGCGGCGAAGATGGGCGTCTTCACTGGTCATCAGGCGCTCGAGTGGATCGGCTCGCGTGTCAAAGTCAACCGTCGCACTATCGGTCCGCGAAGGCCGGCATGGGAGGAGGCGCTCGAGGCGCTTGCGACTATCGTGCTTGCACATGTGCCAGTTGTCGGACTTGACTTCCGTTCGAAGGCAATTTTTGTCGCCACGATGGCTCGTCGCGTTCTCATGGCCATGGATGATGAGAAGATGGTCGATGATCGTGATTACGTTGGGAACAAACGTCTTGAGCTGTAGGTCATATCTTTGTCTCCGTCACTATCCACTGACCCAAAATTACAGTGCCGGTCAGCTGCTCGCACTGCTATTCGAGGACTTGTTCAAGACCTACAACTCTAACCTCAAATCGGCAATTGACAAAGTGCTAAAGAAGCCATCTCGCACTAACGAGTTTGACGCGTTCAATACCATGCAGTTTCAGGGGGATCTTATCACTGCGGGCTTCGTGCGCGCGATCTCGACCGGCAACTGGTCGCTCAAACGTTTCCGTATGGATCGCGCCGGCGTGACGCACGTCCTTTCGCGACTGAGCTTCATCTCAGCCCTCGGGATGATGACGCGCATATCATCCCAGTTTGAGAAGACACGTAAAGTATCCGGCCCCCGCGCACTTCAGCCTAGTCAATGGGGCATGCTCTGCCCTAGCGATACGCCCGAAGGAGAAGCGTGTGGATTAGTGAAGAATTTGGCGCTCATGACCCACATCACGACGGATATCGATGAAGAGCCTATCATCAAGGTCGCGTACATGCTCGGAGTCGAAGGTAAGCTGCTTTCAGTAGTCGTGTGCGCGAGACTCGGGTACGAGCTTCCAAATGCTACAGACATCAGCCAGTCCACGGGAACGGAAATCTATGGCCCTCACACCTTCGTTGTGAACGTCAACGGTACTATCATCGGGCTCACCAAGTTCCCGGCGCGCTTCGTGGCCAATTTCCGACGTCTTCGCCGCGCCGGGCGCATCAGCGAGTTCGTGAGCGTCTTCGTCAACCACCACCACAAGACTGTCAATATCGCCTCAGATGGAGGACGCATTTGTAGACCCATCATCATCGTGTCCAATAGAGGACCCATGGTTCAGAAGCAACATATTGACGTAAAAACTCCTTTCTCCGAAATATTCCGTTCATTAATCACCCTTGTAGGCGCTGAAAGCAGGATCTATGCATTTTGACGACTTCTTGCGACGAGGCCTCGTCGAGTATCTGGATGTCAACGAGGAGAATGACGCGTACATCGCACTTTACGAGAAGGACATCGTGCCGACCACAACGCATCTGGAGATTGAGCCTTTCACACTCCTCGGCGCTGTCGCCGGCCTCATACCTTATCCTCATCACAATCAATCGCCGCGCAATACGTACCAATGCGCCATGGGCAAGCAAGCCATCGGCGCCATTGGGTACAACCAGTTTGACCGTATCGACACCCTCCTCTACCTGTCGGTGTATCCTCAACAGCCGATGGTCAAGAGCAAAACGATCGAACTCATCGGATATGACAAGCTTCCTGCCGGTCAGAATGCCACGGTCGCCGTCATGAGCTACTCAGGTTACGACATCGAGGACGCGCTCATTCTCAATAAGGTGCATATATGTTTTATTTTCAGTTGAGTCTGTATCGTTGACATGATGCGTGTGCAGGCTAGTCTTGACCGCGGATACGGGCGCTGTCAGGTATTGCGTAAGAATACCACACTGTTGCGCAAATACCCCAACGGAACGTAAGCCGTGAACCCTAGTATCCGCGTAGCGTGGCGCTGAACGGGAGTGCAGGTTCGATCGTTTAGCAGACGCCCCACGGGACGAGAACGGTCAATTGCAGAAGAAGTACGATATCGTTCAACCTGATGGTCTTGCGGGTGTCGGCGAACGTGTAGACCCCGGAGACGTCTACATCAATAAGCAATCCCCCGCCAACGCGAACGACCACACTTTCTCGGGCTCTGGCGCGTCGGCACCGTACAAGAATGCGCCGATGACCTACAAATCGCCTGTTGCGGGTCACATAGACAAAGTCATGCTGTCCGATACCGAGAATGACCAGACGCTTATCAAGGTTCTCGTTCGACAAACTCGTCGTCCAGAGCTTGGAGACAAGTTCTCGTCGCGACACGGACAGAAGGGCGTTTGTGGTTTGATCGTCAACCAGGAGGACATGCCGTTCAACGACCAAGGCATCGTTCCAGGTACGCTGCGCGCTCCGTCCTATTGACAAGCCGTGAGATTTGACGAATGCCACAGATACCATCATGAACCCACACGGTTTCCCCTCGCGTATGACAGTTGGAAAGATGATTGAGCTGCTAGCGGGCAAGGTACGTCTATAATAGCTAGCGCACTGTTTCGGCGCTTCCAAAGCGCCAGTATCGGAGCTGATGCTGATACGTTCCTCGTACTAGGCCGGAGTTCTCGCGGGAAAACTTCAATATGGTACTGCGTTCGGAGGTTCCAAGGTCGTGCATCGTCTCACGTCTAGCCCAATGGGTATTGACGCTGAATATCTCCTGCACAGGTAGAAGACATGTCCCGGATCCTAATTGAGAACGGCTTCAGCTATGCTGGTAAGGATATGCTCACGAGCGGCATAACCGGCGAGCCAATGGAAGCCTACGTGTACTTCGGACCAATCTACTACCAGGTATGTCCAGCGCCCACAGCACTCATCTAGCACGGACTAACAATCCTCCTTTGTGATAGAAACTCAGTTAGTTCTGGCGCATTCCAGACTACGATTCCTTCTCATAATCTTTCCAGAGCACATGGTCATGGACAAGATGCACGCTAGAGCAAGGTAATGTTCAATTCAACGCTCGTTCACAGCATCATTCACGCCCGTACATAGGGGACCTCGCGCCACACTGACCCGTCAACCAACTGAAGGTCGTTCTCGCGAAGGAGGTCTACGCCTTGGCGAGATGGAGCGCGACTGTCTGATTGGCTATGGGGCAACGCAGCTGCTTCTAGAGCGGCTCATGATCTCATCCGACAAGTTCGAAGTTAACGCGTGTCAGGAGTGCGGCTTGCTCGGCTACAATGGCTGGTGCTCCTACTGTAAGAGCTCAAAGAAGATGGCGCAGTTGACAATTCCGTATGCGGCAAAACTACTCTTCCAAGAGGTACGCGGCTTCGGCCTGTATGCCTAGTTTCCGAGCTGACGTATGTTCTAGCTCATGGCCATGAATGTCATCCCACGACTAGTACTTGATGATGCATGACCGAACTGTCCATTATATGCGCAAGGAAGATAGCTATTTGTATCATTCCGTCTGTACTCTTCCGTAGCTACACGATTGAGAGCTATGAGGTCTCCTATGTCTTGATCCGACCCTGAGGGCCACACGCAAGCGCGGCCGAACTGTCCGAAGCGCGATACAGCGGTGAACAAAGTAATAGGCTATCGGAGCTTACTATACTAGCATGTCCCTAGAGCAAGCTGAGCTAGCATAGCAGGAGTTATGTGCTCATCTAAACCCCGATCTGAGCACGACCCCGGGTAGCTTTCGACTGGGGTCGGAGATACCGGGCCGAGGGAACACGTTGCAGTAACGCGCCACCGATCGTCGCTTGCTGCTGGACCACCACCATTTATTGTTATATCCACCGAATCAAACCGGATAGACCTCACTGCAGTCCCCATGGCATCTCGAGCTGGGAACTCTACTGCTCTGAGGAGACTCATGACTGAATATAAGCAGCTGACAGCCGGTGGTACGAAGTGTACCCGCATGTGTACGAACTCGCGCTCATGTTTCCCCATCACAGGCTCTCCTGACGGCATGTTCACTGCGGGTTCGAACTATCCTTTGATATCAATATCCTTTGAGCTCACAAGTCGCTATTTAGGTCCGATTTCTGAGTCCGATTTCTTTACATGGGAAGCTCTCATTATGGGACCCAAAGATACCCCATTCGTCGGTAGCACTAAGTTTCAATGCTGGCCATTTGCTCACAGCTTGACGTGTGTAGGAAGGCGGAGTCTTTACAGCTAAGCTGACATTTGTACGCGAAGCATTGCTCGCCTAACGTCTTATACTGAGCATACGCTAGCCGTCAGATTACCCTCTATCGCCGTTCAAGATGAAGTTCGAGCCACCGCTCTTCCACCCTAACAGTAGATTGCGCCTCTCAATATCCTCGCCAGATGCTGATTGTATGTCGTAGTCTACCCCGATGGCAACGTCTGCATCTCCATTCTGCATCAACCCGGCGAAGACCCTCTCATGTACGAGCAAGCTTCTGAGCGATGGTCGCCTGTGCAAAGCGTCGAGAAGGTTCTGCTTAGTGTCATCTCTATGCTTGCCGGTGAGTTTGTCACCTAAACCGCCATTTGGGGGCAACCTATTTCCACATTCGGGACTAATTGCGGATCTTATCTCAGAACCGAACCTCGAGAGCGGTGCCAATATCGATTGCTGCAAGCTCTACCGGGACAACAAACCCGTAAGTGTCGGCCCTCGCGCTCGCCACTTCTATGTACTCGACTTACCCGATCAAATCGATCTTTCAGGAATATGAGCGCATCGTGCGCGAGTCTATCCAGGAACAGCTCGGCCTCTGATGTGCGCACATCTAGTCTAAGCAGGATCTTGTGCCTATCGGCGATTCTACGTGTGCAATGCCCTTTCTCCATCTCGAACATCGTGGGCTACTCGCTAACTCTTGGGTTCGTTATGCGGCGTCGCGCTTCATGATGGATCCCATCAAAAACGCTGAGAGGAGGAGACGAGATGACCTGCATTTGGTGACCGCTTGAAGTATACATGACCATGAACGTAGATACTCGGCTGCTCCATGCACGACATAAGTTGGGCTTCATTTGCCTCCACAGACTTCAATATAGCCGCATCACGTTTTAAAGTATGTGTGCTCTCTTGTGTACATTTGTCATGACAACGAGGCGCGTAGTCCACGCGCAGCCTCCGTCTGGTGGGTCACCGGGGTTCCGAACCCGAACACGCGTACACTATCATCGTCATCACTGCATTAGGCCGCGCCAATATTCCCGATGGCGTTTCACAACTGAATGATAACATATGCTGCTATGCCACCGACACCACAACCCACGCCCCTGGTTGCGTGAAGGCAGCTTCATCTCTCAAACCGGAAGATAAAGACCAGGATCTGACGCATTATACGCATCGCAGCACTGATGTTCAGCGCTCAGCGCTCACGTCCGTCTGCGTGGAAAGTATGTTGAGCCACCGGCGCCATATGTGAGTTGTTATGCACTGCAGGGGAGCTATACTAGTAAGGGAGAATTATTCCCATCTGACAAAAGCTGGTCAGGCCCCGTAGTGTCGCTCGCAGTCTTTAGCTCCGGGTCACCAGTGCCAGTGCACAGTACTGAGCCACAACTCTTCCACGAACATCGGACTCTAAAACGCGACTACATTGATTGCGAGGATCTATACTAAGGTAACTAGAGGCATCAAGCATCTGGGTCTAAACTAGAACAACTGCGTGTGCGGTTCGATAACAGTGCGCATGCAAGATAGCCGCAAAGCAAAATAACGAAGAGAAAGGATGCAAGACGATATGGGGAGGATAACAAATTAGGGATACAGCATTACAACGTCGTGGGCGGACACCGGACCTAACCCTGGACCGTCTTTGGATATCGATAAGCTCACGGACGAGGCTTGAAGACACGCTGCCCGATGTTCTCGCCCAAAATGTGCCGTGCAACGTACTCGTTACGCATCACGCCGCTAGGATCGATGCGATGCAGGACGGCGCTGAAGTCATCAAAGCGGGGGTACATGGTCCGGAGATCGGCCGGGCGTAGGTGGTGTGCTTTTGCCCAGTGCGGTCGGCCGCCGTGCCGTGCGACGATGTCCTCGAACTTGCGGAACAGCGTGCGGTACGGGACATTGAAGCCATACGGCCTGTGAAAGAGCTGTAAGCACAGGGAATATCGTAGGAATATGCTCTCGTGACGCACTTGTATTGCATGATCCCGATCCAGCACATCCGTTGACCGAAAGAAGGCGATAGCCAGATGTCGTCAGCGGCAGAGACGCGGACCTCGAGCGCGCAATGTGGACGAAGTCCATGGGGGTCGGCGAACTCTTGCTCGAACCAATCCCGCAGCTCGCGAAGACAGACTTGAGAGTTCTCATACGGGATGGCCCACTCCGTTGTATGTTGGCGGTACTGGGAAACGTCAGATTGAGTCCTTACGGGGCAAGCGGCCGTGGCTGACCTTGCAATCGATGTTGAATACATTGAGTGAATCATCGACTGCTACCGTGGGCTTGCGGATGAGCCATGATGTGAAGCGGCCGACGGGGAGGTTGAACGAAGGTATGAAGATACCGATGAATAGGAGAAGCTGCAGCACATGGTATCCCACGAGCGAGTTCCACAGCCAGCTCTGAAGAGGTTGCTTCGGCTACACACAGGCGTGGTTATGGACATAGAAGGTAGGAGGCGTAGCTGTGGGACGTACCTCGGACGAGTGTTCCATGGCGCTCACGCGTATGGCACGGTCCTGCGGGAACCACCAAAGCCGGACGAACTCCGATGAGCGCATTATACCGTCGAAGTCGTCAACGACGGTGTCGAACGAGCGCGTGTCCTGCATTTCACGAAGTCGGAACCGCGGGACAACCTGCATCTTGACATCGAGGAGGATACCAGTCGCGCCGAGACCACACAGAGTCGCATAGAATAGATCAGCTTGCTCCGTCCGAGAGCAAGCAACGCGCGACCCATCGGGTAACATGAGGCGAACCGAAAGGACATGCGTGGAAAGGACAGGCTGGTCGTAGCCGGTGCCGTGGGTAGCAGTTGTGACCATACCAGCGAGGGTTTGGTCAGAGATGGATCCGAGGTTGATCATAGCCAGGCCATGCGCATCGAGAACTGCATGCAGGCGCTGAAGGATGATGCCGCCCTGTGCGACGACGTAGCGCTTCTCCGTGTTGACCTAGAGAAGAAGATCAGTTCAACGGTCCGACGAAAGAGGCGCTCGTGCCTGTGCGGTAGCTTCGTTCCGCGCCGAGGCGGGCGGCAACCCGAGCCGCGCGTCCCGAGCCACGCGTAAGGTCACGGCCGGAGATGTGGGCGTACCTCAACAATGGAGTCCATGCGACTCATCCGCACCATGTATCCCGAGGTGCACGCAAGATCGCTTGGGCTATGTCCGACGCCTACAGCACGAACAGTACGGCCTTCGCGCCTTGCGAGCTCAAATATAAGCTCCAGATCGCGTTCAGATGCCGGTTCGAAGATGGATAAAGGAGAACAGCGGAAGGTACCGGCCCAGTTCTCGAAGACAGCTTGCTTGGCCGGAACGGTGATGGGCTCAAGAGCCTGAGCGAGGTCGGATAAGGACATAGAGGCAAGGTTGGGTGTGGCCATTCCGGATGAGCCAGACGGTGATATGGGGACGTTGTCTGGTGGGTCGTCAAGTGAAACTGCCTGGCTTTATAAGTTTTGCAGGGCGGCAGGGGTCGGGAGGTTGGCGATGCGCAGAGGTTGATGACATGGTGCCGAATCCCGTTTCATGAGCCGATCGAATCGAATCGAGAGAATGGCGAACTTGCGACGAGCGAGACGACCCGGAAGAAACCACGCTAGGGTAGAGATTGACTGGCCCGATTCGCCTTGTTCGGCAATTTCCAGAACGAACTTACTCCTGCGCCTGAGCCCCTGGCCGGAAACTGCCGCGCAGATCACGCTTCAAGGCCACAGCGGGCACAGCCGCCGCCAAACACGAACTGCCGCCACCGGATAGACGCATGAGCCGAGCATCTACTTGCGGTCAATGGGACCAGCGCAGGTCCGGGTCTCGCGGAAAACGCTCGTCAAACGCAGCTGGCACCATCGATGGTGATAAACATCGGGCGACGTCGCCATGAACCGCGGGAATTGTGTTGTAGGTCCATGGTTCACTGCGGGCGCCCCTGAAATTAGCTCTGCGGCGCCTTGCGGCGCTCGTGAAGTGCTTCACAAGGGATCTAGCAGCGACTAGAAGTGCTGATGATGGACTGGCTGCCCAGGTGGACCGGTCTGCCTGTAAAAGTACGAGAGATTCGTGGACCCATCGAGCGGCACAGGTCCTCGGATAGGCGATGACGAATTCGGTTGTCTCTCGGCAGTCTCCGGACATCCGCGATCGTGAATCTGAGACAAGAGCGTTCGGAGAAACGCGAGCGCTATCACCAATATCGGGATGTCCGACTACGGACGTCGTCAAGACGCGTGCGTCGGCAGGCAGCGGCGACTGTTCCGGTCCTGGTAACCCACGCTAAAGCAGCGCGCGCGAGATACTGCTGACAGCAGCACGCAATATTCACCGTCGTCAAGCTCGTCTGCGCAGCATGCGGGAGGACTAAGCCGAGTACAGCCACGCCATGAGTAGTTCCTAAAACAAATAGGACGGGTGAACATCAAAGCATGAAGATACGAGCAGCTACGGTAGAACGACAGCGGGTATGGGCACAAACCCACTATCCAAGAAGGCAAAGAGATATCCATCCTGCGGCTCAATGGAAGAAGTCAAAAACGACGCGACCCCATTCTTGACCTTCATAGAGCAGGATCCCACGAACTTCCGCGCTGTCAAGTTCAAGACCGAGCTCGAAGTCTGGGAATCCAGGGTTCAATTGAGCTCTAGCGGCCATGCCAGACTCTGAATACTCACCAGTATAGAATCCGCTAGGTCGTGGCATGCTGGCGTTCTCCTGGAAGGACGGCAATACGCCGAGGTCGACGTGCCATTGGCATAGGACAGTTGTTTCCCCCTGTCGCGATCGTCATTGCTCTTACTCATACGGCAGTAATGTTCATGCATTCGCTCACCTCGTCGGTATATCGCATGATCTCGTCCTTCTCAGAGGTGTATAGGGTGGCGACAAAAGTGCGGTCTAGAGTCTCTGTCAGATAGCCGTTCAAGGCAGAGATGAGACCCACGAACCCTGCGTTGACTGCGAGAACTTGCTAAACAATGAAATATACATTAGCAATCGATGAGTCTCGAGAGCATGTCAGAATACCCACGTGAACTTGGTCTTGACTACCTGTCTGGTCTCGGATTTAGATCCTGCTGGAGATATCTGACGGAAGAAACTCACCCTTTACGTAGTATCGCATTCTTCGCGACAAGATACTGGAGTCTACAGTAGGAGCTAAGTACGATTTATCCGGGTGCGGGGTAAAACACGTACCGATTTTCGCATATCGACATCCCGACCGCGTTCGTGGAGATGTAGGCAGGGCGTTTGAGAAAGTCTTCCGGTTCGGCAGGCAGTTTGACCTATAGTCGTTCGGCGAAATCATAGGAAGAGGCTTACTGAGAGCTCACCTTCATCATGTACGCCCTCGGGGCGATGATAGAGGATACCAAGGGCCTTTGTGCGAGGCCGTACTGCGCCGCGCCGCGTAACGTTGCCGTATCCGCGTCATGCGGGCGAGCAATGACCTTGATACGTGAACCAAATCGCTCCTGAGGACTGCCGTTAGCACATGTTTCTGGGCGTGCGAGTAACAGGGATGGCGTACATCGACGCGATGAAAGAGGTATTCGCTTGTCGAGAAGCCGCCAACAAGGAGCAATGCGTCGACGGACGCGACTCGTTTGAGTTGTTCCTCGATCAAGTTCAGGACCTCTTCCACAACGGGATCGAAAACCTCCCGACGGAGGAGATTTCCTGGTATGGAAAGCTCTCCGTTGATCAATCCGACACTGGGATCGTCCAGGTCCTCGACCTGGAAACAGTTAAAGTTGAACATGACGCCTGTTGATTGAATGAGCTGATAGAGTCGATAAAGCCCCTTGGAGAACGGGTTTATCTTACCATCGTCGATTGTGCCCTGATAAGCTAATTTGTCTGTCTCCGAAAAGGCGTGCATAAAGAACGCTAAGCTGGCCGGGTCTAGATGGATAGGATGATCTGCGAGCAGGGTCTTGACTAGTTCCCGGAAGCGCAGGTCGAGAAAGAGCGAGCCACAGTTGGCGCCAGAGCGCGCGCACATCTCGGCGATTTCAAGCCCCGCAAGAGAGCCGATGATCTTGTACACGGCCAGATCCTGGGACATAGAGTGAGCGGAACGGGTCGTGATCGGAGCCTCGGACATTATGCGACGTACCACTGTACCGCCGCCAGCATCGCAAATCATGAAGGTCTGGCTCGGTTTGAGCTTGTGCAAGTCAGTCATCTGTACGCAATGTACGGCAGCGGCCTCTGGTTCACTATGTGAACGGATCCATCAGTTCAACACCCGGCAGTGGCGTGAGGCTGAAGCAATGACGCGTACGTGATGATGCGAAGACGCTCCCGCCAGTTGTAATCGCCAGCACGAGCGGATTGGACGAGCCCTGCCCTAATTGCAGCATCTCTCATCAGCTCGCACCCTTTCGCATCCCAGGCGGCTGGTACAGTGAGCCACACATCCGCGGAGTCTGACGTGTGAGATGTCAATGACGAGAACTACGCGAGATTTCAATACGACCGACCTAGATCCGCTACCGCGCCGATCTCAGCGGTGATGCGTTCCTTCGCGTACTCCCATAGGCAGGAAAGGAAATCAACAATGACATCCAGGGGCTGCTTGCCACGCTGAGACCATTCTGTCAGATATCGTTGCGGCGGCACGTATGAGAAGGCATACAGGTAGAGGCGGTAAACGTGGGTCGACTTCGGTCTGGTCTCGTAAAGTCCTGTAGCCAAGTGGTTCAGGCGTGTCCAAAAACTCGAGTGATTTGTGCCACTCACTTAGGCTCCAAAAACAGCTTGAACCTGTACGCGCAGAAGACCGACTTTTAGCCGCAAGAAAAGTCGATGAACTGGGCGCGACACGTACCATTCACACTTAGTCTGTCCAGGTCCGATGTTTGCGGCTTGCTTCGCAGGTAGACCCCAGGCAATCACCGATCCATGCTCGTCGTATAACAGGCAAGTTGGGACCTTGCGGAACGTTTCTGAGGAGCCAGGCCAGTTCAATATCTGTTGAACTTGACCAGAAGCTATGCGCGAGGAGCCATATGCCTGTTATGATGCACGTCAACGCCGCGTTCTATTCAACTCGATCGTGGCGACGTACGACACCGGAGAATGTAGTACCTTCAAAGAGTCAGCTTCATATATCGTGGCGTTCAAGGTGACAGCAGCTTACCAAAGTCTACGGATATAGACATCTTGCTTTCGCCCGTCATCGGAGGCGACATGTCCATAGGTTCGGCGCCCGTTTGTGATTGAGTCACGAATGTTGAGGTCGTTGGAGCACCTCCACTCCATGGGGTATATACAGGTTCAGGACGTACGAGCCCAGGTGCTCCGTTATAAGAGCGAGTCGGAGGCATTGGCGAGGGAGTTTTATTCATGAATGAGTCGTGTGGCGAACGTGCAGGTGTAGGTGGGCTATGTGATGCTGGTGGTGGATAAATATTCATGGCAGGATTCATATCCTTTTCCATCGACATGCTTGGGTGCATGCCGGGCTGTACTGCGATAGGCGCCTCCTGCTCCGAGCGCAGACCACTCTTCTCCTCCACTGGCTCATCGCGCGGTGTACCACAGCACGGCATGTTCTACCCAAGGGCCCGAGAGTGCAGATGATGATGGTACGAGGCAAGGCCGGGCACTACACCGTCCACCGCGAGGCCCGTGTCGAAGCAGCCGCCGGGGCACAGCAATATGTCCCTGGCTTCCCCCGCCCATAACAAGGCGCTGTCATTTTAGCGCTTGGCGATGATCAAAACATCATCTTCTGTTGACTGGCGACACGGGCGGTCTTTCATAAATTCAGTAGTGCAGAAGTACATGCAGGGCAAAGGATGCGACACAGAATGGTCTTCGCTGAACGGAGTTAACGTACGATGTTGACTTTCCACTGTTCAACACGATTGCAAGGTTCAGTGATTGCCGAACGGATCAAACCACGCGACTGTGGTGATTGAGTGGAACGTGACTTGAATCTCGGCGACCATCGCTGGCCGACAACGCGCCGACGCCCTTCTCCTGACACCGCCATGGCCGCCCGAGCAGTACTGTCGAAACAGCTTCGCCAGGTTGCGGATGCATGGGCTCCGGACCCTATGTTTGCTCCTCAATTCAAGACCTTCTTGACCTCTCTATCCGAGCACCCAAACCTCACGCGGGAAGCCGTCGATGCCGCCCGTGCCCTCCAGGATAACCGTATTTTACAAAAGGTGAGAGGGTTCGGTGCGGTCATAATGCGCAATATGTCAAACGAATCTATAGATCCCCACACCCGAGAAGATCATCAAGCCTTCCGGCCGCCCTGAGCACTACAAGCGTGTGGCAGAGGGGTACGAACGCGCCCTGGAGGGTAAAAAGCGCCCATACTGGAAGATATTCTTCAACATCTGGTGAAGAGATATGGAGTATGCCAGCTGGGTCGTCTGCGCGCGTCATGTTATGGACATCCGATAGTCTTTTTTGTATATTAATTTCGCGTTCGTTGGAATCTATAATCATCTTGTGCCGGTGAGTTCCTCATCCCCGAAAGTCTATACGCCGATGCTGATAGTACCTAGAGCTTTATACACTAGAAGCCCGTATCATTCAATTCGATTGAACTGCAGTTCGATTCACGCGAGACGTCCGACGGTGCAAGTCGTGGGTGGCCGGGTCTGACGTCCCGACGTGCGTATGCGCAGTCTTGTTATCATCCCAAGATGGTATCTGAGGAGCCCGTCCATGGCAAATTATGGACTGCTGTAAAACCTAACACGAAGTAGACGAAGTGAATCGATCCGGACTCCGCTTGTGGCGCTCGCGCCCAGCGTGCTTCAAATGAAGATTTATCGCAGTGCCAGTGCGCCCAGAAGTGTTGTAACTCTGTTGCCTTCCGGTCAGAACGGATCGCAGCATGATTTATGATGAATGATGGAGCTCTAAAGCAGGATTTGTGGGTAAGCAATGACAAGGGGCTCCTCGTGATGAACTCTTCCTCCGAGCGTGTTTTCAAGGTACTCGCGTACGTTGGACAGTGCCGGGGCTTATCTGCAGCTTCTTTCAACATGTCATAGCGTGTCATCTCGCGACATGGTCATCTTCAGGCTTCAGCCATACCTTTCTGAGTCGCCGGTCTGATAGATGGTGTCACGTAACTCACCCTGCCAGGCAGGCATCTATCTGGTGGCTTGGTGTTAGAAGCCCTCGGACGACGGGAAATAATCGATCCGAAGCCACGTCCCTGCATGTTCGGCGCAAGCAGTCATCCCTCGGACTTCACATGTAGCAAACAGTATACACCTCCTATATCGAGCATCAGCATGCTCTTTTTTGGTGGACGGGCCGCGGTAGACCATAGACGTTCTTCCACGCACCAACTTCTCGGACACTTCCCTGGACCTCAGAACTCTCACCTACGTCTTCACCACATAACGGCCACTATCGGGATGACGAGCGAGCGAGCATCTTTTCCCTTCACCCAAAAATGTCCCCGAAGAAACAAGGAAGCGCAGGGAGAGGTCATGCGCACTTTTCCCATCTGGCTCCCTGGGACCAGAAAAGACTACATCCAACTTCCCATGGCGAGGAATGCACCAGTTAAGCACGAGCACCCCAAATTACCGGCGGCACGCTTGCGACAGATTGTTCTTGCCTTGCGAGGGCGCCGGTCGGCCGACAATCCGTCCGTAACCCCAAGTAGGGATGTGTTGCGCCTAACACAGCGTTCCCATACAACGTCGCTTCTGCACACACACCAAAATGCAAGGTTTGAACGCCACTCGACGGCGACCACAGTGAGGCATATATGTCCCATGTCACGGATATCTCCGTGCTACCACCGATACTGCCTAGCAGTTGCCACCACCACGAGCGGAGCGCCACACGGGGCCACCATCGCGCCCCGCGGCGTCCTTCGCGGTCGGCTGCTCTCGCGATTTGCCGCCACCTGCGAAGCAATGCATTTCTCAAAGATGTGAAGTTCGTCGGAGCACTCGTCGAAGCGAGATATAGACACGGTGTCGGACGATTGGAAATACTGCAAAGCTTCGCGATGGAACTGAACTGCATGAGAATACAAAGTCTGTGCCTGCACACGCGCGCGCATACAACCTCCACACGCGAGCAGATACACCGCAAGGTACAACAGATCTAGGAAAACATCGAAGCCCCTTCGGCGGCACCGTCGGGGGATAGATCACCCCTACTCCTCCTCAAGGATCTCGTCCTTGCCCTCTCTTGCCTGTAATGAGTACATGTGAGTACACCTTGCGTGATGACAAAGATGAGCCGGCGATGCACCTTCTCGACAAGTTTGCGACGCTTCTCGCGCGCCTTGCGTTGCACGCGTACGTACTTGCCTAGAGGCGTCTCGTCCAGCTTCTGTCGCAAGTCCGTTTGCCATCGTGCAACATCGTCCATCTGACCGGGTGCAAACGCCACACTCTTCCGTCGCTCGTCAATCCAGTGTGAGCTCTCCTCAACACGCTCGACGAGGGCCTTGACGATACCGGCCTCTTTCCCCGTCCCTTTTCCGGACTTCGCTGCCTTAAGTGCTTTGCGAAGCATGACGACAAGCGGGACGACCAGTTCGGGGAACGCAATGCTGCCATGTACGGCGCGAGTGTTCAACCACTCCGCCAGGATGAAGACCGTCTCGTCAGCTACACCTTCGGCGTATACGCGTGTGCCGGTGTACTGCTGCGGAGCACGAAGAGCGGTCTCGAAGTCAAGTGGCCGCACTGTCGACGCTTTCGCCTTGTGCGTCGGCGAGAGAATGGTCGTAAGGGGCGGGAGAAAGTAGGGTAATAGAGGGACGTAGACGTCCGTATGCCTTGTTAGGTGAACAAGGGATCGCAGAGTATGGAGATGGAAGGGGTAAGATCGGGCGTGGTTGAGGAGCTTAATTGCGCCGGTCGCCACTTGCGCTAGCGGGAACACCAGAGGTTGAAGATCGCTCTCTATACCGCCGCGCTGTAACGTGGCCTGAGAGTCACAGGCCCGCGCCAGAACCAATGACCAGAAATCGATGCTGTGCACGAATTGCCAATTGTACACCTGCTTGTACGATTCCTGTAGACACCGTCAGAAAGGGCAATTCAATCAGCGAGCGGGAACCGAGCAGACCTTGGTCTTCATTTTCATACTTGTGCGTAGGTGGATAGCTAATTGGCGAATGTAACCAAAGGCATGCTGGTACGCCGCTGCATGATTGAGACAGAAGATCTCCGACGCCGAATTCTTCATGAGATTGATAGACGGGAGCGTATGCACGCTGGTAGCCTTGGACGAACGAACAAGCTGGAGATACGTGCTCTGTATACATCGTCAGACACATGAGGTCATGAGATCCCTTCGCATAACGGACCTTGAGAATCATATCCAAAATACCTTCGTCTGGAGATGAGGCCAACTTGCGGACAGCCAAGAACGCGGCGATACGGACGCTGTCATCCGCTGTGGACCAAAGGTCCAGGCACGTCTATTACACGCATGTACGTCAGAGGTGAAGCTGACGCAGGAGACGTTCTCATACCTTCAGATACATCTTGACGGTTCTCCGGCTGTTTACGACGTACGGAATGAGCTTCGCACTTTCGTTCACGGCGAGTTTCACCATCTCTGGTTCCGACAGTTGGTTGACGATGTGCATTATGTTATGGAAGAAGGATGAAATCAATCGCTGGAGCGTCTGAAACTTCTTGGTCTGCGACGGGGCTTTGCTGGTAGGATGAATTAGCACTCTATTCAGCTGTGCCAGGTTTGGTCGCGTACAATTTACCGTCAGGCAGCGTCTTGTAGGGCACATGATGTTGGAGTACCACAGGCGCGTATGTCAGGGCCGTCGTGACAAGTTTTGAGTACACAGAAGCGCTTTCAATAGACCAGGCGATAACTTGACCCTCCTCGTTCATGTGGGCTGCTGACCGGAACGCTACTAAGAGCTTTCTTAATGCCCGCAGCGACCTGTACTATAGAGCCTTCAGCACTCATCGCAGTACGGTAGACTTGAGCCGTACGTACTTCAAGCAGTGACTTTTGCCATTCCTTGAGGATCTTCGCAGTCAGGACGGGAGCCTTATCCTCATCCATATCAGCATCTTCTCCCTCTTCTGCATCCGAATCGTCATCCATGGCAGCCGCGTCGAAGTTGAGCAATTCAGCGTCGTTCTCCTGCAGGTACTTGTAGAACTCCGGATCCTTTTCCGCGAGCTTAGACAACTCCTGCATGTGCGCAGCGCCTTCATCATCATCTAAACAAGAATTAGCACCAAAAGAGGAACACGTAGATAGAGAAGCGTACCTTCAAGGTCGTCCACAGAGGCGAATGAAGCATTGTCGTCGTCGTCATCGTCCTCTCCATCCTCTTCGCCATCCTCGTCGGAACCCTATATATGCATATTAGATACAACAGCACGTCGCCAAAATGACCACACACTTACCTCTTCGCCTTCTGCGTCGCTGCCCATGAACCCACCGCCAAGAAAGTCGTCCACAGACATTCCCTTGAACCTATACTCATGAATAAAACTTTGAAGAAGTTAAGGTGACGGTACGCACTTGCTAGAGCCAGCTTCCACATCATCTTCGTCATCATCAGCCTCTTCTCCCTCGACTTCATTGACAGATTCCCTCTCCTTTCCCTTCGCTCCTTGCCTCTTCGCCGCGCCCTTCTTCTCAACCTTCTTGCGGATCTGCTGGTGTTTTCTCCGAGCCTGTATGGTTTTTTGGAGAGCGCCGCTAGATGCGAACTTTCGCATAGACTTTTTGGACGACTTAGTCATAGTTGGTCGTGACAACGAAGGTGAAGGTAGGAAGAGAGATGCAGGCGGACGCGAGCGCGTCTGCAGAAACGCGCTTGAGCGCGTCGCGAATCTTTTTCGGGGACCGGACCGATGGTCCGGGGGCGCGCTGTGCACTAGGGGCAAGCGCCGTCC